TGGAGCAGCTCTGTTATGTTCTTTATCATTTATTATTTATAAAACTCTTCTCCCTCCCTCTTTTGGTTGAAACAAAATTTAAAAAAAAAAAAAAAAAAAGAATTTTCCTTCTTGTTTTGGATGTTGCATCGCGGTCAGGATTTTTGCTGTTGCTTTTTGCATTTTGGAGTGTTGGTTGTGATGCATAACCATATCATAAATGATCAACAACTCAAAAGGACACAAACAGTCTCGAGAATGCAGTATCAGTTGTTTCACTAACACGTAGCTGCAGAATCATTTTCTTGACTCGGTGTCTCTCTACCAGGCTTTCTATTCACACCAAGATGAATAGTGAAAGCTCAGAACAGATGGTTTAATCTAGGACATGATGCACCGAAACAACATTACTACAGCCCATATGTGGAACGGTTAGCTTTAGGTTTTTGTCCATGTTACATACTGAGTTTATTAGTGTAATGTCATGAAAAGCTTACATTTCACCATCAGCTGTTGCCAACTCTGCATGCGACATCATCAGCTCAGTTGTTGCTAAGCTGCAGGCATAACATCATTTATGGCAATATGTAGAGGTTCTAATGATGCCTTGCTTTTTTTGTTTGTTTTACACTTCCAATGTTTTAGTTTTTTCATTTCACTTAATTGAAAAAAACAAAAAACAAACAAAAAAAAAAAACAGTCATATATGTTTCATCCAAATGTCATAGATCCTTACAGCTTGACTGCAAGACCTCCTCTGGTGAAATAAGATCATAATCATTTATTTCTCTGCTCGGTGCATAAAGCCCCCTGTTGACAGGAAACCTATGATAAAAAGAACTGTGAGAAGATGGTCACAGCAAGAAAAAAAAGCTCTGTGGGATTGTTTTGAAACTATAGGCTGGGATGCACTCTGCCACCCCCATGTAGAAAACATTATTGCCATGACTATGTCTGACTGACTTCATAAAATTCAGCGTGGATAACACCACTCCCACCAGAACAGCAGCTTGCTTTCCCAATAAGAAGCTCTGGACCGTCAGTGAGCTGAAGGGAACTGCTCAACAAAAAATAGCCATTAGGAAGGGAACTTGGAATTATTTAGAAATACACAAAAGCAACCAAAAATCAAGCTTAGAGGTACCAAGGAGGTGCACTGGAAAAACTGAAGAGCAAGCTTAAAAAAAAACCCAATAGAACAAATGTGTGATCAGGAATAAAAATGATCACAGGCTTTAGCCATGATGATCAGCTCAGTTTACCTCTGAACAAAGCCAATGAACTGAACTGGCTTTAATAGATTCATCTGAGGAAAAGGCTCACCATCCCGTTTCAGCAAACTCACTGTCATTTGCATAAACCAGACAACATAAATATTATGTTGTTTGATTTCTCTGGTGCATTTAGGACAATGCAGCCTCATTTACTATTTGTCTGGTGACTACCTGAAAAACAGGCCAGTTTGTGAAATTTAAAAATTAAATGGCAGATCAGCTGGTCAATAGGAGAGGAGAACCACAGAGGACTTTACTCATTTTTTTTTGTATTCAGAGAAAAGGATTAGTGATAATAAGGACAGCAGGAAGAGATTGTCTCTGCCTGCAGCCTTTGCCATCTATAATGACTTGGATAGTTTTGGTTGCATCATTTAATTTTCATTTAATGAAATTTTGTTGAATTGAAATAATTTGATCACAGATGAAGTGTTTCTTCAAACCATGAAACTGAGGTGGCAGAATAAAGACTTTCAACATTTCACTGTGAATGACATGTATGGGGAACTACACCCACAGGACTGATGCAGCCTGACTATTGAAATGCATTCAGCACTTTAAATATAAGCTAAGTTGTTTTGTACCGTGTTCAGCATCATATTAGCCTCATTAAATTCTGGAGATCAATATCATTTTAAGATGATACATACTGCAGACAATAATATTTCATCTGCTGCCACTGAAGTGTTTGCCTTGTTTCATAACACTCTGTCATGCTGTTTATAATTCCCCATTAATCCGTAAAGTTTATAGTAGTTAAAAGTTTATATAAGTGGATCGCAAGTTTGTAATAAACATGTAGATCACGGAATGACATACTAGCATCTACAATGAACTTTTGAACTCCAGTTGTCAGAAGGAAGAAATGCCTAGAGATGCCTAAATGCCTAAATGCCACATATAGGCTCCATTCAAGATTCAAACCTAGACCCTCCCTGAGTTTAACCAACCAAACCCAACGATGTTCAGTTTTCTGATACAACTGCAATAACAACAATCCAAAAATGTACATCCAAACTGCATGGACAATTAAATTTGTATTGGAAAATTCATACTCAGCATAAGATATATAAAATCTCTCCAGTTTGTATTTCCTTGTATGCATGTTGAGTTTAGTTTCTTTTGGCTTGCACAAACTAGTTCCCAGAAATATAGGTGATCAAATGCAATGTTTATAGGAAACTAAAGCCATTAACAACCTGTTGGCATGAGTATTACACTGGAGGATGTTTAGTCTCACAAAATAGGAATCCCCTTTAAGAAAAACAAATATTGACCTGTTAAGGAGACAACGCTTTAGGTTAAAAATATGTAGAACTACCACAGAAAATTCAGAAACCACAACTGTGAAAATATTAATGGAGATCAGTGTGCACTTTCTCCACATTAAATATGGCTTTAAGATAGCAGATGAGGTGTAAAGGGAAAGAAAAAAAAATCTAGAATAATAATCCCATATATCCATTCTATGTCCAGTCTGTTCACACAATGTGCTGTTATCTCCATACAAACAGAAACAATCAAAGGCTGTCTGTATCCAAAAATGTGTCCTCTGTGACATTTCATTGGGATTGTACCTTGAGTACAAGTGAACACTGCCAACATGCAGTCCCTCTTCAGTATACACAGGGAGAAGGAATGGATCTGGCCAATAGACTCTGTAAACACGCCTGGAGACATTCAACAGCATCAAACACCATTAGGAAGAATTTACGAGATCAACAGGTCTTTGTGTTGGAAAGCAGAGCGAGAGAGCGACCTTTTAACTGGGTGTTTGAAGTATGAGAACAAGCTGATAAGCAGTCCATCATATATAACTTTGCTCCAACTCGAATGTGTAAAGTAATTTTTTGATGAATAAGTCAGTAGGGATGGAAGCTGACCCTGTACAGTCTCCTCCTTATGACATGAGAGTGAATACGGCTGACATCCATTCCCATCCATAACACTTACTGTAAGTGTGAGCAAGAAGCAAAGACATGGCCTGGATTTGTTCATTTTCTTTTTACAGAGAAAGAAAAAAATGTAGTGAGACTATAAAAAATACCTTCAAGCACTCATGGTATAAGGTAGCTAATTCTAGTTTAAATATTTTCTAAATTCAAAAGTGAAACTGATAGATTTATTACACACAGTGTTAATTCTGCATATAATATCAGAAATATCTGACAGCTGATTAAAAAACACAAAACTCTGTTTTGTTAAAAAATATATATTACATAAGAGAAATAAAAAAATAAAAAGACAGGTTCTTTTATGCTCTGCGCAATATTTTCCGGACTATAGAGCGCACCTCACTAGAAGCCGCACCCACAAAGATTTTATTTATTTATTTATTTATTTATTTATTTATTTTTACTGGAAACTTACATATATAAGCCGCACCAGCTTGTACCGCTTGTATCTCCACCGCTCTCGGTTTTCCACAAGAAATCTGCTATTAAGGACACAGCGGGCGTCTCCAGAGCCCAACCATGGATTTCAACTTAAAAGCGGCAACGGATATGACAACCATATCTGTTGTCATGTGGTTTCCATGACAACGGATATGAGTTTGAACATATTTCTGCATTGTTCAGCGCTTTCTTCTTTGATTTAAAATGTTAACTTCAAATGATTCACTTTCTGCTAAAGAGCCCCCTGGTGGTTGAAGAAAAATCCACAGCCCATGCGGGCTATCAGCCGCATGGTTCAAAACGTGGGGAAAAAAGTAGCGGCTTATAGTCTGAAAAATAGGTACTTGTCATTTTCCCAACCAACCATCTTTGACAACCTCAACTATACTTTTTGCATTACAAAAGCTCAAATCCGCCCCTTTCCCAAAGGAAGGTACGTGAAAGGTAAAACTCGCTACATTTACCCTGTTATGTGCGCGAGGTGAAGGAGCGAAAGGGCGCTTAAGTGTATGCGAAAACATCATCGGCGCCCCGCGCACTCCAGACGGGGTTTTGACGCCCCCTCTGGTGCAGCGCCCCTATGCGTTGCATGCGCTGCATGCCCACTTTATGCGCCACTGAAGGCAACTCTTAAACTATTTGAAGTCATATTTCTGGAAAGTTGAGTTAGAGGAAAAAAAATGTTGAAACGTAGGAACAATGACACTGTTGAAAGGATAGATAAGTGATTATGTACAGCACTTTGTGTCTTAAGACTTTAAGACTGACATGCCATTTTTAGCAAATTGGAAATCAAAACATTGTTTAATGTTGATTTTTTCCCCCCTTCTAAGCAATGTCAGTTTCTTGAATAATCATAATTTTATTTTCAAATTTGCCAGAATAACAAACTATTTTGGGGCTTACTATACTCTATTTTCTATATTTTATTAGCTGTTTGTCATGTGTGTTTTTGTTGATCTTTTGTTTAATTTTATGATAAACTGAATTTTGGGTTTTCATGAAAATTTTAAGAAATAAAGAAAGATAATTCTACATGATATCTGTTTATTTATTTTTTTTAATTGTAGTACTGAAATAGATGTACTTTTTGAGTATAATACAATTCATTGATATACATCTGTATAATATCGTGCTTTCCAAATGTCATCGAGCTACAGGTACATACTTCCTGGACAATTTGTTTTGTTTAGTTTTGTCAATAATCTATCCTGTCGTTTTCAAATAATTTCAAGCACGCAGCTGATTATAAAGCTTGAATTATATGTCAAATATCATTGTATGGGAATAAAGGGTATATCGGACTTGCTCGTTTGGCTGATGCTTTTTCCCCCCCTCTCTCTTGCAGTGCCACACTGTTCAATGCGTCTCCAAGTGCGCACGACCCGTCTGCAGCAGCGCTCGCTCTGCAGACCGCCTGCCAGGCATCTGGAAACTCTGCGTTCATTTCTGGAACCTCCGCTTTCCACTCAGTCACCCCCCAACAGGTGGATTAAGTCGAATCGGACATGCACATTGGTGGAAATTAACCCCAGGGGGTAAAGTGGAGGTGTTGCAGAACTAGGTCTGTTCTACCCTGGAAATTCGTGAACTCGTGGCTTTTTTAAAATTCTTTCTTTCTTTTTCTTTCTTTTTTCCTTTTTACCGGGATTTTTTTTTCTTCTTGTTGTTTTGCGCTGTGAGATGAATGTGATGTTTTGACGCGCATTAAGACCGAATGGAAATTAAAACGCACGGGATCAGGATGTATTCAGAAGTGCGGCGAAGTGACAAAAAAACGACAGTGGAGGATGCAGACTGAAGCAGATAAACAGAATAAAGACAAACTGGCTACTGAGGGCACTAACATATCATCAAGGAGGCGCTTCTCATGAATCCGTCATCTGCTCTGAATTTGAGAAGTTGAGATAGACATTTTTTTATGCTACTCTCCAAAGGAAGAACCTTGATCTTCGAGGACGATGTTCCAATGTTCAACAGCCCTAAGGTTTGTTTTTCAGTTGTAAATTCTAAATAACTAAGGGCAGCTTTCAGCCTGACCTGAACAGAAAAGCAATATCAACAACAATAAATAAACGTGGCATCCAGTTAAAAATAGACTATGTATATACATACACACACAGATATATATATATATATATATATATATATATATATATATATATATATATATATATATATATATATATATATATATATATATATATATATATATGCAAGTTTCAAAGTGGCTCCTTTAAATATATTGCAAATCCTCTCAGCTTTTGCTGCCTGAGCTCTGTAACTTTTACATCATGTTATGATGCCACTGAATACAGCCATACACTTACAACTATAAGAGCTTCAATGAGTATGTGTGGGAATTTTACGATCTGCCAATGCATGGACAATCTGCACTTCAAACTGTAATGAACTGCCCATTATATGGTGTAAGGTTTAGAGGGCTGAGAAAACAAGCTAAAAACTAGTCCGTGTCTGTTTATTACATAATGTGTATTAAGAAAAAAAACAAAAACATTTTTCTCAATTTTACTGGACTTCAAAACATGGAAAGCAGCAGAGCTTAAAAACATTGTCCATAGAAGTGCCTTTTGTTATTTAAAGTGACTGTTTTTGTGCTTATTTCTGTGAAACAAGTATTGAAACTTTCAAGACAAGTGACAGTTCAGTGAATGAAATAGATCAGTCATCAACTGATATTAATTTTTCAGTAGATACCTTATGACACCGTCATCCAGGAAACCTACCTAAAAGACGTACAGATAAATAAAAATATATATAATATTTTTCAACATAACTTACTCTTATTGTATATAGTATACAAACGCTGGTATACTGTATGTTTTAGTCCTCTCGCTTGTCCAACACACCTGATTCAAATGATGGCTCATTTGCAGACCTCTGCAGAATGTTGACATGCTGAGGATGTCGTTGGACCATTTAACCCTTGTGTCTACAAATGGGGTCCAACCGACCCCACACACGTAAAACTTGTATCATTTGCCACAGTCCTACGTTTGCCTCAGTCCCCGCATGCACAAGGGTTAAACCAGCTGGGTTGGTGCAGAGATTCATCTAAAACTGGCAGGACACCAGTCCTTGAGGATTAGAGCTGGACGCCCATGACATAAGCATAGTTATTTTTCATCTGTTTATGTTTCTTGATAATCAGAAATTATCTCAAGCTCAAAAATGGAATTTAATAACAAAAACTCAAGTTCGCTCGTGTCATTGGTTGAGACAGTAAACTTTTTTTTTTCTTTTTACTATAATCCCTCTAACCTAGGGGTGTAACCATCATCTCAGAACTGGCCGAATTGACACAATTACCCTGAAACATCTACAGGGTAAGCCAGTAGACCCCTAAGTGAGAAAGAGCAACACCAAACATAAAATGTCCAGCAAGACACCATAAGATCTCATTTCTTAGGAACCTATAATCTCCCCGTAACCCTGCAACACTGTCTCTGCTGCAGGCCTTTGATCTAATGTTTCCTCTCTCTCCTCTTTCTATTGTGGCAGTAAAGATTTATTTTAAGTATGCCTAAAGCAATAGTGAATATGTCTGGAATAACAACAAGACAACAAAGCTGGCCCAAGACAAAGCAAACTAAGCAGCTGTTTAAGGCCCTAGACCTTCAGCCCCCTAGTTGTCCCGTGTAGCAGTCGAGCCCCTGGGCACAGATCAATTGATCTGCTTGTCACTCCAGTGTAGATGTACACTATCTACATTTTTATTCCAATCTTCTATTTAGTTATTTATTTACAAAGAAGCACTTCATGTGCATGTGTGTCAGCTTAGCTAGCCAACAAACAAATGCTAATTAAGGTGAAGGTGCCATCTTCTGTCAGCTGAGAATCTAGCTAGAGCCCTGCAGGGATCTTGTATTATCCTCACCTTTCTTTTACTATGGATATCATTAAGTCTCAAGGTCAAAACTTGTCACTGACAGTTTTCCCTCGTTTTTTAGAGAAAAAAATTGCCCCACCTTTAAAACTGAATTAATAAACCAAATGTTCACGTCCTCAGTTTTAGTAAAATATCTCTGTTAATTTTGTAAATAGAATGAAATGCTTTCTTGCTGATGTTTATCTCATAGGTGACTTGGTACATTTTGAGATTACGACTCAGAGCCTAGGAACATAGACACTGACAAAAAGCCCCCGGGTATAATTTTTTCTTGTCATATTACTTTTTGCTATAAACCCAATAATCACATAACAAGCATTCAACTGTTTCAGTTCAAGAACAACTTTTAGGACCTAAAGCTTTAGTGAAAATGTGCATATATTTACACATATGCTATGCTAATTATAAGCTGTTATTCTCTCTCCCTTCATGGACTAATTTGCTGCTCATTAATGTAATGATAATGAGTCGTCCTGAGACCATGAGGAAATAAGAAAGAGTGGCTTATTAGGCATTGGTGAACTTGTACTTCTCTAAAAGTAATATGAAACTAATACATCTTGACTAACATTCATCATTTTTTAATTCTTTTTATACACCTTGTCTGACTCATGTGCCTGTTTTTAAGTGGGTTGCTTAGATACAGGACTTCAGAAAAAGGAAACAATTTTTTGAGTTGAGATTCTCAAATTACCAGCAACGCGACGCGACATAATTTAATGTACTTGTAATACATTATGACGCACAATGCTTAAGATGCTCTTCTGTTTAGTTTATGACAATTTTAGTTATTAATAGTGTTTTCTTGTGTTCTTTTAATTTGTGTTGAAACTGATGCTTAAAAACGGGATTGGTATTTTACACATGTATTATAAAATTTCTAAGTCTGGTTAAAAGAAAAAAATCTAAATCATTCAATGCAGAAATATGTTATGAGGAAATTCATTTATCAGATATATTATTTTGTCCCTATGATCCATTAATAGCATTACTTTTTAATGATTCCTTTGTAAATTCTGCTCCAGCTCAGTTATTCATCATAACCTTTGAGGTATTCACCTTTTTTTCCCTCCTTCTTCCCATGCAAGTGAAAGTGAGCACTAACAGCTTCATTCTCTTCCTAACACTTTTTCCTCTGTTTCTTGCAGTGTGAAGTCCCTCAGCCTGGCAGCAGCTGTAGCAGTGTTAGTAGGGTGCCAGTAAGCTGAATCCTTGGGAGATGTCACAGCTGTATTACCGGAGGACTGACAGCTCTTCATACCGGGACCGCATCCCGTTACGAATTGTGCGGGCTGAGTCGGAGCTGTCGCCGTTAGAAAAAGCCTACCTCGGAGCTGTGGAGAAGGGAGACTACGCCAGTGTCAAACAAGCCCTGGAGGTTCGTAGAAGTGATTATTGGTAATTACAAATGGAGAAAAGGATATCTACACGTGGCAGTCGTGAACAGTTGGAGCCATTTGATTTCAAATTAAATTGATTTCATTTATTTAATAGCAAATACACAAATGCAACCAATAAAACAAAAATAAATACTAAAAAAATGTTTAATGGGGGACTTATTTATCTATTTATTTGAAGACTGATTTATTTGAGGAATTATCTATATACTTATTTATTTCTTAATTGTGTTTTAGTTTATAAAATTTTTGTAAAGTTGCTTTATGTATTTCAGGGACTTTTTTTATTTAATGTTCATATATCCAAATTACAAATTATTCCATTAAAAAAATATGTTTTATGCATATTTTTTTTATTTCTTGGGGATATTTATTTATTTGATGAAGTATTTATTAATAACAGCATTTAGGTATTTATTTATTTAATTTTGAATTAACAGTTCGCCATAGAAAGGATTGTAATTTGAGCTAAACGTAAAACATTGAAATGGAATCATTTATAGAATAAAAGCTGCTATTTTCCCATTTGGTTAACCACTTTAACACCTGTTAGACCTGTTGCAGAAGAGAGACACTACATTTATGTTTTCTTTCATAATTTTTATGATTAAATGTACAGTTTGTAGTAAAATTGATTATTAGTGATCCAAGTAACACGGTCTAGTGATGGGGTGCCAAAGTCCACTCTTCGATTGCCACCCTCCTCTAAGTTTTAGATGAATCCCTTCTCTAGCACACCTGGATCAAATTAACTTCTCCTTAGCAGGTCTCTGCAGAGTTGAATGAATCCTGTTCAGGGAATTGAGCTGTCTGGTTTAAGTGTGTAGGAGCAAAGATGCATCGAAAGGTGGCAGGATCAAAGCTGTCAAAGTCTGGACTTGAACTAGAGGTTTAAAAAAAATGGACAAATTTAAGCTTTAATAAATTCTCTCATAACTGCTGATTGCACTCTGTAGCAGCCACTGACATTTTTACAGTTGCACTGATTAAGTCTTCTTTTAAAGTGTTCCTTGTTCCCCTTTAACTAAGTGAACAAGACTTATTCTTGTCCGATTGCCTACAAAAAAAGAAAAAAAAAAAGATGATTCAATTTCCAGTTCTTTTCTAGATAGTTCAAGGCAGTCTTTTTCCTTGAGTGGTAAAAGAGGGGAAAAAAATCAACTGGTTGAGAACAGCCCATTTGAAACTAACAAACTTTTCATCTCATGGCTCCATATTTTTCTATTCAGGAGGCAGAGATCTACTTTAAGATCAACATCAACTGCATTGACCCCCTTGGCCGCACGGCTCTGCTCATTGCCATTGAGAATGAGAATTTGGAAATCATTGAGCTTTTGCTGAGCTTCAGTGTCTACGTCGGTGATGCCCTGCTTCACGCGATCCGCAAGGAAGTGGTGGGAGCCGTGGAGCTGCTGCTGAATCATAAGAAGTCAAGTGGAGGCATGCAGGTAAGGAGGAGAACAAGTGGAAAATTTGACAGTTTACATCCTTTCCAAACCTTCTCTAGCCTAAGTAGAGATTTTACCGAAGACACTCTGAATCGAAGACTGTCATTTAGCAGCACATAGTACGTTTATTTGGATTCAACAAGCGACAGAACTGATCAAAAACAAAAACACAGCCTTTTACTTATGGGTTTAGATGCTGCAGCAGTACTTGTAGCTTAAAATATTTGGTAATTAGATGATAGACATTACTGGGAAAAGCCCTACCTCAACCTTTTCAAGTAAACAACATTAACTGTGTTCTTGCTTGATCACCTGGCAGCCTCTTCAGTAGCTGGAATTACAGTATTTCTGTCTGCTATCTTTCATACGTCAAAGGTTATCCCAATTCCCATCAAAACTCGAAAAACATAACCCCGAATTACTTCTGGTTGGAAACATCAAATTAAAAGCTCTTTGAGCTTTGTTCAATAAAAAGTTTTACAATTACATTGTAGTTTACACCATACATTTAAACATCTTAACAATAAAGAATTGTTAACAGACATTTCAAATGTAGATTTAGAAACTGATTTCCTATAATATTATAATCTCTTTATGTTATTTTTTTATTATTATTTATGTATCTAATAGGGTAAATACCATATTTAATGACATTTGCCAAACTAATTTCAGAAACACAATGAAAGGACAAATGGAGTAGACCTTTTTGGATAGGTTTTCAAAGGAGCAGTATTATTTAAAGCTGACTTTTATTATGGTGTAATGTTATTCCCTCAAAGGGTTGCTTTGATTCTTTCGCACGTGTTTGAGAAATCCTTTAGTCTCCCGTGGCAACCATTTAGTTGTGCAAAATTCTTGGGTAGACTTAGCACCGTCTTTGAGACACAGTTGCAGTTTCTAAGCTTCTGAGCTTCCTCCTCATAAAGCACCCCTTCCCTGCCACGCCCTCATGCAACTCCTTCAGACTAGCCATAAGGGATTAGCAAACATCTGGTGGTACTGCGAATCTCCTGAGGTCATATGATCTACTTCTCATTGCAGCACTGGAAAAGATGTTGTTATAGGGTTAGAAAGCATGACAAAAAGGGCAAAGATCTATAAGTAAGATTCAGTTATTCAGTTCACCCTCTTTTCCCCACCTTGAATATGTTGAATATGTCAGCATATTCAAGTTGTCTGATCTCGAAGGTCAATGCTGTGAATTATTATTAATAAAACCAATTTATTGTGGAACATTCTATTATATTTTGTTTGTATACAATATACATAACTTATAAGCAGATGTTTTACTCACAAACATGTAGCAAAATAAACTGCAGTTTTTATTTACATATTTTTATCTGGCGGGTGTAACAGAAATAATTTGTGGCATTTTAATATATTTCACAGGGGAAAATTGATTTTACACATGAGTAATTTGAGTTATGAGCTCCGTCATGGAGAGAATTAATTATATATATATATATATTATATATATAATTAATATAATTAATTAATATTAATATTAATATTAATTAATATTAATATATATAATTATATATATATATATATATATATATATATATAAATATATATATATATATATATATATATATATATATATATATATATATATGTGTGTGTGTGTTTAAAATACAACTCTTTAGACTGTGCTTCACAAAACCTTCCCAAAACAAAATGCTGTGTTTCTTCTGAGAAAGAGTCCAACATGCTCAAATAAAGGAGTTTTTTTTTTTTTTATGTCCAATTAAGGGAAAACTGTTTTCTCAGCCTTGAAATACTTCAGCTTTCTATCTCAATCAACATAACCGACCTCGGCAACAACTAAAGCTGACAAAACCATCTTCTTCATAAAGTCTTAAAAACAGAGTTTTTCTACTGCAATGTCTCAATGTCTTACACACTGAGATATGATGGCATTTCCTTAAAGAAAATACGATGGATAATTTGCACAAATGTTCTCTTCTCCCTCTTTTATCGTGAACATTTTGACAATATTGTCCATCTTAAATGTAGTGCCTCTTGTTGCAAATTGGCGCTAGCAGATAGGAGCTTAATTCTTATTATCAGAAGAGTGCTATAAGTCCTTCACTGTTACATTTACAAACATCAAGTCCTGTCTGCTCTGCTTCTTACTATTGATGCACCACATCAGACGGGAGAAAACTTATTTCATCAGCCAGCTGATGAGAGATTTTACTGCTGCTCTTGAGTTTAATGCAACAATGCGCCTAATTTTTTATAGGATAAAGGTGGACTTAAAATGAATAAAAAATTAAAAGTTACAATATATTTGCAAAAAACAAAAGTAGTAGCATGATTATTCATTCTCTTTACAGAAGTGGATGTGGAGAGTCTGAACCCCTCACCATTAACATCAATCAGCTGACACATTACCTCTATAACTTAATTCCTTTCTAAGATAGTATTTCTTTGCGTCACATGAGTGAGCTGTGAAAATAGATCACTCTGGCACAACCAAATCCCCCCAAGAGAGGCCCATTGATTAGATTAAAAAGCTGTCTTGGAAAATGCACATTGTTTGTTGCCAGGATCTTCTCTGAGACTTATTAATGGGAGTATTTGTTTTATCCTTCACTGAAGATGTGGATATTTATCTTGCAATTCTGCTGGATGTCTGGATGATTGGCTTTTGATAATCTCACAAATGTTCCTGTTTTTACTTAGAGTCCATTGAGGACTCTGTGAATTTCAAGAATTTTTATGGGCATTTTTCACTTTTCTACAACCTTTCCTCTTCAGTGAGTTATATATGGAGTTAAATCAATTTCCATAACAAAAATAAAAAAGGTGAAATCCTTATATTTTATTCACTATCTGATTTATATGACAACAGAGGTTTTTTTGTAATATAATATTTAAAAAATACTTCCATGCTTGTCAAACCAGTGGACAAACATATTTTGACTTTTTATTTTTATTTTTTTTATACTTTTAACATTTACTCATTTTATTTGGTTAAAATATGCTATTTACCTTTTAATGATTTCCATAATTACCATGTGAGTAGAGATAAGAATCTGTCAGTGGCACACTTGAACTTGTTGTTTCAGAATCACAAGGCAGCCTGTGGTTGTTTTTCCCTTCTTTTTGACAGCTCTGTTTAATTCAAACACCATTACGTCAGGAAGGAGCAAAATGTAAAGTGAGCATAGTCATGCTTTCCTGATTTACAGCCTTCGGCTTTGTTTTCCACATTGCAGTGCAAAACCTGAGCTGCTCAGAGTCCCATTTTCTTTCAGCATTATCTAAATGTTTGTGATGTTGTGGGATGACATGTGAAAACCAGCAGGGAGGCTCGAAATAGAGCTCAGTGAAAACTAAAAGCGGCACAGATACTGAGCTCTTGCAGATGCTATTGTTGCATGTTTTATCAATATGCTGATGGTGGCTGCTTCATTTTAATGAGACCAACAGACACGCATAACACAGAGGAGTGTGTTCTGGTTTCATCTCCTTTCTCCACAATTATCATAACTTCACATCTTGCAGTTTGCGCGCCTCCTGGTCCGTGCTTGGGCACATGCCAGGGCTGTTTGATGTTCATGATTTGAAGTCCGTCCTCCTCCCACATGGAAAACAGAGTCTATGCTGTGGCTTATTAGATCATCCTCCTCTGCGAAATGCGAAGACTCTCAAAAATGGCCCTGTGCCACCTGACAAAGTGAAGACTATTGGGGTAAACCATACCAGTAATTAGTTTCTCCATGATAAAGTGATTTCTAAACTTTATTTTTATTTTTATTTTTTATTTACATGGTCTTAAATATTTTCTTTGGATGTTGCTCAGGGTTTTCTATTTTGTCTGGGGCGCCTGTTTGTGTTCCATGTCTTACGTTTTCACTTTACCTGTCTGGCTCTAATCTCTGTATGAAGAAGATCCAATATTCAGGCATTCAATACATGCTTCTTTGAGTTTAATTTTATGCCACAAAAAATAAAGGAAGCAAACAACCTGTCCTAGAAAGAGGTGTCGAGCAAGAGAAGGATTCAGGAGTGATTGCATACAGTTGTCTGGGTTGGCAATTATATCCTTGAAAAATAAAGGTTCCTGCAGGTAAAAATTTGAGAAAGTATATTAAAGAATGAAACTTAACGTAGTAAAGACAAATTATAGGAAAAGATAGAAGTAAAGTCTGAACGTATAAGGCAGACTAATAAATGGCTCACTTGGCAGCATAATGGCAGCCAGGTTGATTTCTTTTTATTTCTAAATTGTATTTACAGCAGAACTAGAATTTAATATACGCTACATTGAGAATGCTATATAATTAAGGTAATAAATGAAAAAAATGAATACATTTCTGGACATGTATGAGTTTTACTGAAGAACATAAAATACAAACTTCTATATTTTAGTATTGCAGACAAATATATTTGATCTTTTATACAGATGTAGCAGGGAGAGCTGAGTGAGTGGCAGCAGCAATGTGGTGCTTCTTTAGACTCTTTATGTGACAGCGAAGAGAGCTTTATTAAAACCATGTCGGGAAAAGAAACTGTCATTCTGGGTGGATGTGCTCACTCATTACGCCTCCTACTGAGGAGATGAGAGCAGATATTTCATGTACAGAGTGGGTGGGGTCTTGGATGGTGTCTACCTTGTCCTTGTTTCTTCTGTTGTAAACGTCTGTCATGGGTAAGCAAATTTCACCTCCTGCTGCAGTTCGCGTTGCTGTAGCAGTGTTCAGCTATTGCACCACACAGTGACGCTAGAGGTCAGACTGCTTCCCACAACACACGTCCAGAAGGAGATGATGGTTCCTGTGATCACCCATTCCCCCTACAGGTCGCTCAGGAAACACAGCCACTAATGAGGCTTTTTGATGATGAGCTGTATTTCACCAAAGGTTGTTGGTGAGGTGCTTCCATAGGTATTTGACACAGCTAAATCACCTGTGAGGTTTCAGGACGTTTCTCTCCCATGAGAAACTATGATAAGCAGTTTGTCAATGCCTGCATTAAAGTTGCTTTCCATGAACAAAATTCACAATTTTTAAATTAGGTAAAAAAATTTTGAGGAGTTTTAGGGTGTTCACTCAGAAGTCAGTTTGCAAAAGTCTTCACAACAAAAACTCAATGGGATTTTTCTCTTCAGAAGTTTTCTGAGTGAAAAAAATCCGTCAGGAAGAGGCCGAAAAAAACAGGAAATGAGGCCAAATGCTTAGGCCTCATACGGTCCTTTTGTCCGTGTAAACATTGGAGCACAGCTCTCCTACCTGCTGCTCCGTGGCCTTCTGATGCACTGCAATGGTTCTCTGGAATTTTAAAACGTTAAAAGGAAGGTTAAATATAGTTTACTTCTCCATCAATGGGCCATGTGCAGTTTTAGGAATTGTGTAAATTTTCAGCAAATGCAATAGAGCAAAACAGAAAAAAAGTCTCAGCTTGACTGTTGTTGTGCTATGTATTTAACAGACCTAGTTCCATAGTTAACTAGAAAACCAACAATTAGACTGACTAACTTTGATTAACCCTCATAACTTTTATTCAATAAATATTAGAAAATATATCACAAAGGTATCTTTATGTCTCTGACTTACGAACTTTGTATGGCAGTGGTACCTGGAGAGCAGCATTTTAATGCAGGAGAAAATGGGATGAAGTTTATTTGGTGTGCAATAAATTTATTTTATGGATGCTGCAACTTTTTTAGCTTAAGCAAGAAAAATGCTTTGTAGTTATCTGACAAATTAAATCTTGAAAAAGTTCAAAAAGCCAGCACCCTTGATAAAATGTGGGCGCATTAGTGGACTTCATAGGGAATTTGTGCATCTGCGAAGACACTATTAATGCTGAATAATATTCGCAGGTTAGAACCACTGAACAGTGACATTTACCACCATCCTGCATGATAACATCAGACCATTTTCTGAATATATTAAAGCAACGGGTCTTTAAAATAAAATAAACCGGTGCAGTCTGGATCAGTCAAAATCTGGTGCTTTGAAGTCCAAAAATACTTCAAGGGAGCCCCCAATCTGCTGAACAGTTGAAATCTTTTTTACCAAACAAGAAGGGGTAAAACATTTTCCCATTTTAAACTAGCACAGCTGGATTTCTAGCTATTGAATTCATGCAGAACAACACAAGTTGAGGCACAGTATTCACCTGCCACAACCTTTTTTTTTTCTTTTTCTAAAGAAAAAGTTACTTAGATTTAGTTCTAAATCAAATGATGCTTTCTTGAAGCTGGGACTTTTCATTTTTACAGTTGCTGTCACACCTCAAAACCATTTTTCACAGTTTCCCTATAGCTTTTCGAAGCGGCAGAGAAAACCTGATATCTTCCAAGCTGTTTTAAAATTAATCTTGTTAATGTTTCCTCACTGGAACTCTGACCTCTTCTTTTCCATCTGTCATGAGTCTGCCTCGAGTTAAAATCCTTACCCATCTCACATTTCTCTGAATAACTTCTCTTTCTTTTCCACCAGTGAATCAGATAATAGACCTTCAATTAAAACTATCAAAAGGGGCCAACTCACTGCTACCCACTTGTTCCCCTGAATGACATGAATAGGTCTATGTTGGAGGAGATTTTCTCTGAGCATGTTTTCCTCTGAAATATGAGAAATACAGAACTTTCTATTTAATTGGGAACTGCACTCCTAATAGCTATTTTAATATGGAGGACATTTTTCGGTAACACTTATTTGAAGGGGTTTGCATAAGACTGACATGACACTGTCATAAACATGACATAACACCTGTCATGAACATAAAAAAGTCTTTATGAATGTTTATGACAGTTGTCATGAAGTGTCATTCAGTAAATAATGACACTTTTAATGCAAAGTTGCTCTAAAAGTTGCATTGAAAGTCCATTAAAAGTGCCAATTTTGCATTAATTTATCATAATTTACAAAATAATGCAAAGTTGGCACTTTTAATGGACTTTTAATTCAACTTTTACAGCAACTTTGCATTAAAAGTGTCATTATTTACCGAATGACACTTCATGACAACAGTCATAAACATTCATAAAGACTTCTTTATGTTCATGACAGGTGTTATGTCATGTTTATGACAGTGTCATATCAGTCTTATGCACACCCCTTCAGATAAAGTGTTACCCATTTTTCTCATCTTGTTAGCCAAAGATATGGCCTGAGAAAGTATTTTCTCCCATAAGAAGTTCTATTTTGGGTTTTGCGTTACATTTAAATTATTCGGAAAACCACACACAATTTATCATCAAAGGCAACCTAAGTAAATAAAAATGTCCTGTCAGATGGTGTTATGCTAAACAGCATAGTACAAACATTTATGAAATGTTTAAGCCTGTTGTTGAAAGAACTTGAGAGACAGAAAGAAGTACCCTAAAGGATCTCAAAAAAATAAATTCTAGAATATATAAAGTCATACACATCTTCCAGCCAAGAAAGAGTAACAAAGCCATTATCCACAAATGGAGAAAACATTGAAGAGTGGTGAACCTTCCTGCAAGTTGCCATCCCACTTAAAATACCCAAAGAATGCACTGATGACCTGTCCCGGGGGTCACAAAACAACTCAGATCAGATTAACTGGCTTCACAGTCTACGGCCTCGTGTGCTGCTTGAAAAGTTTCTGTTGACATGTGTGTGAGACTGAGGGATTTTTTTTTTTCCTCCTCTCTCCTGAAAGGTTCCCCCTATCTTATTGGACAAGCAGTTTTCTGACTTCACCCCTGACATCACTCCCATCATTCTTGCTGCACACACCAATAACTATGAAATTATCAAGCTTCTGGTGCAGAAAGGTGTGTCTATGCCACAGCCACACGAGGTAAGTGAAATAAGTATCTTTGAATCATGTTGTAAACTGTATATTTGATCTTTTATACACACCAACTGTATTATTAAGGTGGAATTTCTTGCAAAATGTGCAGATGAATTAAAAAGCCAGTAGCACGCTGCAACGTCTAAACATTACAGACATTACAGTGCTTAGCAGATTTGATGAATTCAGTGCTTGCTTTGCTACATGGGGGACATGATCCGTGACTAAACACAGGGAAGCCTCATTAAAATGTGTCCACGATTTGTTTGATCTCGCAGGTGCGTTGCAACTGTGTGGAGTGTGTGTCTAGTTCAGACGTGGACAGCCTGCGGCACTCTCGGTCTCGCCTCAACATCTACAAAGCGCTGTCGAGTCCCTCTCTAATTGCGCTCTCCAGCGAAGATCCCTTTCTCACTGCATTCAGGCTCAGCTGGGAGCTGCAGGAGCTCAGCAAGGTGAGGGGAGGAGAGAGACAGCTGTTTGCTGAGCTGAGACACGCGGTACTAAAATTAGACTTTAAAGACCTGAAATATTGGCAGCATGCTCATTAATTAACCATGTGTCTTTTCTGAATCACATTATCTGACAAACAATTGCCTGTGAATTTTATTTTTGGAAGGCACTGCGATAAATTTGCTGTTACTGAAGTAAAAGCATATGAAAAGAAATGCCTACTACACTTTTCAATTTTGTATTTCTTTGCAAAAAATGTTTAAGAGCCATGCTGTGTTGATTTATCACATGAAGTCCCAAAATAATGCTGTGATGCTTTATATTGGGACTTGTGAAAATGTGAAAAAAGGGTTTAATAAGAACAAGTCAAATGTTTTAAAGTGATGAGGATAAGCAGGTGGATTAGAAAAATTGCAGTGACAGAAGCAGGGTTAATTAATACATTTAAAAATGTGCATTTATTAACAAAGAATATGAAGAGATAATTTTCTGGAACAAAAGCTCCTCTGTAATTTTAAAGAACTGACCTTTTTACAAGACTTACCAGTGCTTAAAGAGGAAATTTACATCTAAAATATAACTGATTATATTGTGGTTGGAGGAAACCAATTTTCCATTCCAAAGAACACAGAATTAAAGTTTAATTTGCAATCAGTCCTTCAAGTTCCTTTTAAATTTGTTTTTATGTTAACCTGTATTAGCTTTTGTTTTGGATCTTATTGGTATTTTGTATTCTGGCTTTTTTAGGTGGAGAATGAGTTCAAATCTGAGTATGAGGAGCTGTCTCAGCAGTGTAAACAGTTTGCTAAGGACCTGCTGGACCAAACAAGGAGCTCCAGAGAGCTGGAAATGATCCTGAACTACAGAGACAATGCCAACTTATTGGAAGAGGAGGGCAATAACGACCTTGCAAGACTCAGACTAGCAATCAAGTACCATCAAAAAGAGGTATGCTGAAACATAAAACTGCTAATAGTAAGAATGGAGACTTTTCTTTTTGGTTGACCAGGGTGATTCATTTTAAAGTACGGACCAAAACAAGCTTCAGGGAACGGAACAAAGTGAAAACAGAAGTGATTGCTTGTTTAGGACAGATGCTGATTTTGCCATCACTGTAATATGCCACCTGCTCAATTCATAGGAATAAATTAGGACATTCACACATTTAGTTGCACTTGAAATGGCTAAAATTGCACGTGGTCATAAAAGATCAGGTGGAACATATCTAATCATCATTTTGGATTTTGTTTCCTCTTTTCAAATCTCACAGATTTAGTTTGGTGTGCTCCTAAGGTGCACACCATGATAAGATCAAAGAGCTTTCTGGGACCTTCAACAAAATAATTGCTGCAGCTTATGAGTCTAGTTGAAAATCTCAGTTTGCAGAGGTTCAAAATCAATTTCAAATCAGATACCCCATAGCAGGGAACAAGGGGAGAACAGTCAACACATCTAAAAACAGCTGCTCAGGTATGGCTGCTAAGCAAGTTGAGCCAATGAGCAGACCGCAAGATTGGTTGGACAGTAGGGTAGAAGCCATCTTTGGCAAACAAAAAGCAAACAAACAGCATTATAGGAAAAGTATCTCATTTGGTGGGCCTCACCAGTTCATCATCATAGATTCTGCAAAGCAACAGAAGGCGCTTACGGCGCTTAGACCTTCTGTAAAACATTAAAGCCGATGCTGAACTGACCTTTGCAGCATAACAATGATCCAAAATATATCCTACATCCAGTGTGAGAATTAAGAAATGGAAACTTCTGGGTCAATTTAAAAAAACAGGAGTTGATGTCATTGTACTGTGGGATGGCTAGAGTGTAGATAAAAGAAAATAGAAGTATTTAAAATAGAAGTAAAAAGTGTCCTCAGACTGATGTCAGAGTCTGGTTGATGACTATAAGAGCTACAGAGGTCAGACTAGTAATTAAGGTGTGTAGTTCCCCAACATTTTCTTCATCTAGATAATGGTTTTTATTGTTTTTTCTTTAATTAATAGACCAAGTTTTACTTTGTAATAATCCAATTAAATCACTATTAACAAGAAGAAAAGGCTAAAACTATATCAATTCTGAAAGTGGAAAAACATTTAAACATTTAAACGTATTACACAGTAAATGATAGAGTGGTGCCTTAAAAAAACTGTGCTTAACAATCAAGTGGAGGGTAAAGGTTGTTTATTCTCTAAATTTGTACTTTACATGTTAATCACATTGAAAGTGAAAGATTTTTTTGCATGGTACCTTACTATTAATGCACGAGTTCTGATTGTTCACAGTATAACGGAGGATGGATGTGGGAAGCAGAATTCTTGATGCACTTACAAAGTTAGGGGAAGACTGAAGGCAATAAAATGTGCTAAATGCATATTCTAGTGCAGAAAAGTTCAGCTGAATATAAAGGTGAAGCAAAAAATGATGAAGAAGCAAGAACATTACTCCCAGCAGCAATTTGAATTTCACTTTGCTTTTCTTTCCTGGGACCTCTGTCTGGCTGACAGGCCAGATGCACTTTTTGGAGGAGTCTTAATTTACGACTGTTTCTTCCACATTATATTGCATAATTAGCATGTGCCGCACACATTCACAGAAACACACACACACTTGATGAGGGGTGCGGTTACTGACAAAAAAGAAATTAATTGGCACATGTGCAGGTGGTCGTGATGGAAGACAATGCCCTGTCATCCTAATAGATCTCTTGACAAATATCTCTGTCTAAGGCAATATAGCTCTTCTACAAATTGCAAGGAGACTTTTTCCCTGGTACCTGGCACAAATGTGTCAGGCGAGTATTAATGACATTAAATATGTGCAAGTATAGGTACACTTAGAGCATGTTGTGGAATTATTATTTTTGCACCAGGATTTTTTACCGTCTATGTTGATGCGACTTACTTTTAGTTGAGCTTACAGCATATTTCAGTACAGTTCCAGCTTTGTGTGCAAACAAAAAGATTTTCTTCTGTTTCGCATTAGAAAAGGCATCTTTTCTTTGTATTCTCCTGCTGAAGAAGGCAGTTTGCGGAGCATGAAAGGTTTTGATCTCAGAAATACTGAATGAACTAAAGAATGGAATAAAGGCAACATTTTGTGCAGATGTTTCCTGAGAACAATGTCATCTGTGTGTATAACCTCCTCTAACCCCCAACACTCTTTGACACACAATGAAGAAAGGTCTACCTACAGATTTTTTTTGTTCCTTCAACACCTCATATACCCAGCAAATAGGGGGTTTGGCCCTCTGACAAATCAAGGGCGGACACTTAGTCAGGGTTAAATAGGCTCATTTATTCTTGCAAAGAGCATTTTCCCTTTCTTTTTGATCTTTTGTCTTGTCTTTCACCAATTTTCCAGGCAAATATAGAAACATTTATAATTGGCATGACTCAGCCTGAATGATGGATATTTATTTTATATTGTAGCTGCTTTATAAGTGTGGCAGTGATCATGACCGACCCTCCTGAAAATGGACATAGGTGCCAATTAAACCTTGCTCTGTGTGCACTGAGGACAGAGAATGGAGTTGTTTTGTATTTGTCATCACATTTCTGTTTACTTTTTTTTGTTTTTTTTACTGCTGGTTTGATCCTGGGGTTTAGAAAGGCATTTCATAATTATCTGAAGACAAATCTCTACAGGAGTAACTAAGCTCACACAACACTCTGTGCTTTCTTTCAGCAGGAGGTCAAATCAGATAAATATTATTGCGTCCATTCCCCAACATGCTTAAGGGTTTTTCTGTGGACTGGTTATTGTTACACAAGCAAAGAAGGCTGGTGAGCATTTTAAAATTCAAGTAGGAATAAAATTAGTTTTCTATTTAATGCCTAAAATAACCAGAGGCACTGAGAAGAATGCCATCAGTTTTATATGCTGTAGTTTAATGTTGCCCTCTTGTGATTTTTTATAAAAACTGCAATTAAGTGTTTCAGCATTTTAAAAGCTCCTTTAAACAACAATTATAGAACCATTAAAGCTAGGTTAGTCTTAGGGTTTTGTTGCAGAACATTTCCTCATAAAAAATTCAATGATCCCAGTAAAGATCTACAAGTGAAATGAAGTTCAGAACATATTTTTAAATTTCCATTATTCAATGATTAATATTAACCTCATCGGTTCTGATAAATGAATTGGACTTTTTCAGCATCAGAATCCTTTTTTGACCAAGATTGTGTGCACAGAGGGATTTGCATTTTAAATTCAAAAGTGTATTTACAGTGTATGGATGTAAACTATAAACATTAAACTTTATGGGGAAATAAAATAAGGATAAATGAACAATATGCATATATAGATATGTACACTGACCATTTTTACTGAATGTATTACAAATCTAAAACCTTCCGTTACATTATAAACAAATATACAGTATACCTATTTGTGATTGTCCTTGAAAACATTTGAGAACAGTCGGGCTAAGATTTTGTTTCAGTAATGTGTGTAGATTTTCTGATCTTCAAAACGTTACAACAATAACATGTTAGGAAATTGTGGCATTTCAATCTACATTTTTAAGGTCATACTGTTGACCTTGTAAGACCGTGAATGTCAAGACAAGTGTCCAAAAGTTGGGGCTTCTGAGAAATTCATGCAGCATGAAGAAACTCACATAATTTACTTATGAAAACACAGATGCACACACATCACAATTTTCACTGAGTGTTGAAAAGTTCTTATTATTAAGTCCTTATTAAACTGAACTACTAATCCTTTATGCCACAGAATGTGCGTTTAGTAATTATACAATTTAATCTTAGAAATGTATAAGTAATTTAGCCTGAAGAGTTTTACAAAACAAATCTTGTTGAGTCGCAGTGAACAAAAGCCTTGATGGAGATAAAAGGAGAAAGAAATGTGAAGATTCACACTAATTTCAGCTTTAAAGAGTGTGGACTCTGAGTCCCCACCAATGAATTCATACTGAAGTGTCTTTTTGTGTTTGAACTAGAAAATGTTCCTAAAATGGTCAATTCTAAAACGTTTCCAGATGCATTTTTTACTCATTTTCACAGTGACCAAAATATCCTTGATCTAATAAAGTAGCATTATTATGTACTTCCCATGCACATAGAGCCATTTCATACTCAGAATAGTTGAATTTACATAATACTCCCCCTTTAAGACATGCAACTCCAAAAAGCATGAAGAAACTGAAGCATGTACATTTTAATTTTAACAAACATATATTTCATCATGATAACTTATTTATACTAAATTATGCCTGTTGGTTTCCAAAATGAATACACCTGGCATTCACCTACATCTCTATGATAGATCTTTGGAAATAAATAAAAAAAGTTATTTTCACTGTTTGTCTTTTAAAGTGAAGTAAGAAGGTTTAGACAGACTATGTCTGGAGAGCTGCAGGTAAACCTGTCCTCACTAAGTTGAAAGCATCTGCACTTACACAGCAAAAGCACTTTTTTTGTGAGCACTTACAGACAGGCAACAGTCGAGAGGTGCTTTGTGAAGAGGCGGTTTTCCAACTGGACTTGAGTTGTGCGAAACAGCCACCTCAGGCAAATATGGCACTTTACTGCAGCAAGCCTTTCTAAGTGACTGTGACAGGCAAAAGAAAGGTTGCTATCACATTGATGTTTGCCTTGTTTAGACTTTTTGGGGACAGAAGATTTTTAGAGCTGAAATGGAAAAGTAGTTCTCTCTCTATTCAAAACGTCCTCCATTCATGGTATGATTACTGTTTGCTGAATCATTTCAGGTTGATATAGTTGGATCAAATCATTGATTATATCAATCTACATAAAATCTACCTTGGGCAATTTCCTTGTCTATCTACAATCTGAAACACACTTGTCAGAAATTGGCAAGAATCGATACACCTAAGTCTGACATGCTAACTGCAGCCTGCAGCTTACACTGGAATTGCATTTAAGTCCAAGTCAATTCTGACTTCTACGTTTTCTTGGCTCAAACTTGTTCTCTGAAGACTCTAGACTCAATTCAGACTTCAGCTCTTATGTAAGTGGAGCTAAAAGTGCAAGTAAGTGTACTTTTAATTCCACTAAATGGTTGTTGTCCTCTCTAAATTGTTGAAGTGTATGTAGATAACTGATTGCTATGGTAATGTTATGTGGGGCATTTATGGCTGCTGTTTAATGTTTCATGACAGAAACATTGAAGGAGCTGATAGCTGATTTATACCGTCTCCTTTTTTTTTTTTTTTTTCACTGAGCAAGCATTTGCAGTCAAACTTAGAATTGTAGAGATTTTTTCTGTTTAGGGTTGTGTAACATTTATTAGCCAATCAGGGATGTTAATTATTCATTAAAAAAACATGTTCCTCATGGCCACACATCAACTGTCAAACTGAGTTCTGTTTTAAATTACTTCATTTTGTTTAAGAACAAAATATATTGTAGGAAATATCTTTTCCCTTTTGCAAGAAATTTAGCAACAAAGCACTTAAAGCAAGTATTCATGTATGTCTTCTATTTTTCCCTTAAACATAGTTTTCATATTACAGTTTTAGTTTAAAAAAGATCACTGATCATTTATTTTTTTAAATACTTCATAGCAGTTAAAGGTTAACGGTAGATTATTTTAATATACAAAGTGCAGCTGTGCAGTGCTATTGGCAGACTACGTGATTACAGACTTGAGACTTATGAAAATGTCTAAGCATCTGAAAATCAACCATATCATTATAAACTCAGATTCACTTTTGCCACTGACACTTACCATAGTGTTTAATTCAGAAGAAATACAGCTGTTTTTAAAGATGCAGTACACAATTTTATTTAATAACTCTCTGACCTAAAGGTCTTCATTACAAGAGTCAGCTGCCTCTTTGGGTGCAAGTTAATGAGCTTTTTATGTGACTTATGTAAAAGGAGATGTGTGATTAAAAGAAACCAGCTGGTCTTTCCTTCTTTTTTTTTTTTACATTTATTTTCATCTTAAAATTTGTCTTACTGTAGACTGCATATAGTCTCATTTGTTCATAAAATTAGTGTGCTCTCGAACACCATTTCTCCCTTTCCGTGTCATGGTTTGCACCAATATTGTTGCTGAAGCAGAGGAACATAAGCCTCATGCCCCAACACAGATAAGGGGGTCTGTGGTTCCCATGGAAACAAAGCTGCAGAATTAATGAATTGGAAACCACCAGGGTTTGTCAACACTTTGATATAAATACCCAGCATACTATTTTATAATATTGTATGCATCTATATAAATGCTTGCATATATGTATTTTAGCCCATGTAAGACCCATGCAGTACCTTTTGTTTCTGATTTAAACCCATATCTAGAAGACATTTAATTTCAAATCTTTTACTTTGTAGTCATGTGTTTAAGGCATTGCAACACCACAACCAAGTAAACAAAAGAAACTGACATATATTTAGACTTTGAAAAAAATAAATATTGTATGTTCCTGTGGATGAGTACATCCACTTCTGTGAGCAGAGATTATATGTACAGAAAGTAGAGATTACAGCTTCATTTATCTGAATAGTGCAACATTTTAAAATTTGAATGTGGATGACCAGCACTTCACTGTTTTCACTTTACTCACACTTCCCACTCTGTCATTTGTTGCTCAAGTTTGCTACAGTTGCTAATTTTGGCACACAAATACTACTTCATTACATTATGGGAAATCAGAAAAACAACCTACGAGAGAAAGTCCTCTCATTATCTCATCATCCTGCAGTCTTACGTTTGCAAAATCCTCTGAGACAATTTTTCATGTCTGTAAATGAGAACAAAGAAATCTTAAATTTAATTCTCCTCTCCTCTTTTCTCATTTGTGTTAGTTCGTGGCTCAGCCAAACTGTCAGCAGCTCCTGGCCTCGAGGTGGTATGATGAGTTTCCCGGGTGGAGGCGGCGCCACTGGGCAGGAAAATTCATCACCTGTGTCTTTATTGGCCTCCTCTTCCCTGTTTTTGCCCTTTGTTACCTCATCGCACCCAAGAGTCGCTATGGCCTCTTCATCCGCAAGCCCTTCATCAAGTTTATCTGCCACACGTCATCGTACCTGACCTTTCTGTTCCTGCTGCTGCTTGCCTCCCAGCATATTGTCACTACAGAACAAGACAGGCAGGACCGACAGGGCCCTCCGCCGACCACTGTAGAGTGGATGATACTACCATGGGTGTTGGGTGAGTATAATATAGAATGATCACCTTGTGCTTAAGCACTGTGACACTGAAACAACCAACCAACAACCAACCTTATGTTTGTTTTTGACTCAGTGCCCTTTGAAATAATTTGTATGACTTTACTAAATAAAATTTCAGTGACTTTGATTGTGGAAGCAGCTATGACTCTATTCTTCCTCACAAAATAGCTCAGCCACTGAGCTATTTTGAATTGGCCCAATTCAAATGGCCCATTTGAATTGGCTGTGTTGGAGCAGAGATGCGTCTAAAACTGGCATGAAACTGACCTTCGAGGACTGGAGCTGTACACCCATGATTTAAAGAAATCAGAGTAAATGGGGTTGAATACAAATGGACATAATCCTTTGCAAGTTCTTTCTTTAAAACAACTTTATATTGATTCAACGTGTAAAACTACAAGACATTTTCTTCGAGTTTTAGGTTGCAATGTGGTAAGATGATAAAAACTAAAGGGATATGAATACTTTTGTGAATCAACGTATCTAATCAGATATTTTGTTAATTGTCTGTCTTTTCCTAGGATTTATTTGGGCAGAGATCAAGCAAATGTGGGATGGTGGTTTCCAGGAATATGTCCATGACTGGTGGAACGTGATGGACTTTGTCATGAACTCTCTTTACCTGGCTACTATATCCCTCAAGATTGTAGCCTACACCAAGGTAATGATTTGTCTATGAATGGCAGTAGAACTGTGAGGGTGTGTTATCTTTTGTGCTTCACTTCATATTCCATCCTTTCTTCTTCCCTATTTAGTACAGTGGTACTAAACCCAGGAACCAGTGGGAAATGTGGCACCCCACTTTAGTAGCTGAGGCAGTGTTTGCCATTGCAAACATATTCAGTTCCCTGCGCCTCATCTCCCTCTTCACCGCTAATTCCCATCTGGGGCCTCTGCAGATCTCACTCGGCCGGATGCTGCTGGATATCCTGAAGTTCCTTTTTATTTACTGTCTGGTAAACTCAACAAATGCTTCCAGACAAACAGGTGGTCTGCAGTAGATGTGGACAGAACATTTGACATTTGCTCTTTCTTCAGGTTCTTCTGGCCTTCGCTAACGGACTCAACCAGCTGTACTTTTACTATGAGACAAAAGCTTCAGAAGAGAAAGGAAAATGCAAGGGGATCCGCTGTGTAGAGCAGAACAATGCTTTCTCCACGTGAGTTACTGCATGTGTGATGCTGTGAAAAACAGTGTTACAGAAAATGACTTTTTCTTGTGTAAACTGTTACTGAGATGAAAATATGTGAAAGGCTTTCTGTTGCTAAGAGAAAATACTGCTGCTTAAGTTATTAAATAATTTCTTAAAAATGACTCTGCATTATGTACTACCTGTTACAGCATGTTACGGCCCCAAAGTTCAAAGTAGACACATACCAACAATATTATTTTGACTGAGCATCTTCATGTTAGTGATCAAAGTCCAGGCCTAAATCAATATGAAAAACAGTGATGGGTTTTGAAATTGATGATCACAGTTTCTTTCCATCTATTCTCCTTGAACAGCAAGCTATTTTGCAAAGAAAATTGAGCATTTCCAAATGTCTTACAGGTTGTTTGAGACCCTGCAATCCCTTTTCTGGTCTATCTTTGGACTAATCAGCCTCTATGTAACCAACGTGGATCCAGACCACCAGTTTACAGAATTTGTTGGCGCCACCATGTTTGGGACGTACAACATCATTTCCCTGGTGGTGCTCCTCAACATGCTGATAGCCATGATGAATAACTCTTACCAGCACATTGCTGTGAGTACATGACATGATATATGTAAAAGAAAAATATCACAATACTCACCCCAGTATATGTTTTTTATTTTTTTTATTTTATTTTTTTTAATATACTTAAATCTGATTGTAGGACCATGCAGACATTGAGTGGAAGTTTGCAAGAACAAAGTTGTGGATGAGTTACTTTGAGGAGGGCGCCACGGTTCCCGCCCCTTTCAACATCATTCCGAGCCCCAAAACATTCTGGTACCTCGTGTGTTGGATCAAGAGACAAGTGTGCAAGAGGACTCAGTCCAAGAGAACCGAAACCTTTGGAACTCTTGGAGTAAGTTGGTATGCCGGACATGATGGCATCCTTTCACCATCAAATAACCTGCACTTCTCAATACATGTTTATGTAAAGATGATTGTTGTTAAAAATAATTTGTGAAGAAAACACAGTTTAGGTATTTGAATCAGGAGACATTGCAGTACACTGGTTACCTCGTATATGGAGGTTATTAGTCTTTGACATAGTAAACCAGGATTTGTCTACACACCTTTGCTACATATCCAATCCCAACACCCCACCACTCCGTACTTCTTCCGGTAGATTAAAGTGAACAACAAACATTTACAAATCAATAATGAAACAAAACAAAAAAAAAATAAGATGTTGAAGAGAAAGCAGTAAGATGCCTTTCACTTCTTGCATTGCCTTTCCTCCTTTGCAGGTAAAATTAGGTTTGATGTTATAATATTTTGTTGCATCACCATTTTAACGCAGTCACAGAGAGGCATCTTGTAAAGTTAAAGAAGTACTCATTTAAAACTGTAATGTTATGAGGACTACCCAGATTAGATTTATTTTATTTTCCTTTGCTTTTTCTTATTGAACATGAATGTTTCTGATGTCCATGTAGAGACGGGCTGCGGAAAACGTGAGGATAAACCTTCAATATCAGGTAAAAACAATATCTCTTAAGTCAAGCTGAATACCGTGAATTGCAGGGTTGTTTGTGTGCATTCAGGAAACTTGTTCTGCCCCTTAGCGTCCTTTCTGCACATCCGATTTCAATCTGAGCACACACTGTCACATTCAGCAGGACTGGCAATTACAGTCAGCAGGTTATTTATCATCATTCTCTGCCAAGGATTTCCTATTTGCCCACATCCGCAGGGGGTCGTGACAGCATCTGCATAGAAAATGTTGCTATGGATAGATTTTACTTTCTGTGTATAACTTTTCCTCTCTCGCATTTTGATGAAGCATTTTCCTCTCGTTTTAGGAGGTATTGAGGAACCTGGTAAAACGTTATGTGGCTGCAATGATCAGAGATGCTAAGACAGAGGAGGGCCTGACTGAAGACAACTTCAAGGTATGATCAGGTCCCACTGATTATAAATAACCATAAGCAGTTATTTTCAGTATTTCTATCTATAGCAGATCAAACGTTTTCCATCCCTGGTAGAGTCAAATCTACTTAGATAAATTGCTTGTCAGACTGAGAGCGGTAATTTATGGCATATTTTGCAGACAGTTGTTTACCTGACACGCAGCAGTACTATTTTGGTTCTCTCTGACAAATCTACTGTTGCTCCATCGCATCATTTCTTTTTGTTATGACCTAATTAGCAATAAAGACATAGCAACTAATCTCCTGATCTATCTGCAAGAGATAGCCACATATGTACTAACATATATGCACAAATATTTACAGGAAGCACTAAGTGCTTACACTGGACTGAGTTAGAACAAAATTTGCAATTTTTATGAAGGGTGGACTGATTTCTCTGAAATATATATATATATATATATATATATTTTTTTTTATTTATTTATTTATTTTTTTTAAACAATTTTTTTGTAAAGTCATGATTGCCTATAGTTGCCTTACTTATTGTGGAAAGATGTTGCTGTGAGATTGTTGAAGTAAATAAATCATTGGAGGAAAGGAAATTAACAAGCTAATGAGACATTCACAGTATCAATCTGCCTCATCAGCGATTGTAATATAAGGAGGATAATCATAAAAACAGTCACTGGTCCTGGTAAGCAGGGGAATATACCATCTTCAATACTGTCACACCACCAGTTACGTTGGTCTGACAACATTACATGTGCAAGAGGATGTTTGTTTTTAAGAAGTTATTTTGATTAACTAAAACAAATAAATATCTTCTATAGGTGGCAAACTGTATGTCATATGATTAGTATTTTTTTTTTAATGTCTGGCTTATTTTTATAAACAAAAAAGAAAGATCACTGGTATCTAGATCATTAGTATTAAGGGAGATGTCAGGGGGTTCTTTGAAACTCTTTTTAAAATAATATTTCCCAAGACAGTTTTCTATAACCACTGTAACAAATAACTAAAGATATGCATTAGTTATTTCAGAGTGACTTTTTCTTTGCTCTCTCAGGAGCTGAAACAAGATATTTCCAGCTTCCGTTATGAGGTGATGGGCATGATGAAGACGGGAAAGCCTGCTCTACAGGGCGCGATGGCCAGTTCCAGTTCACTGGAATCCAGTCTTGCTTATCCAAATTCCTCGCTCAAAATTTCCCCTGGCCTTCCGGCCAGCCAGGCAAAGAGCAAGCTCAACCGATTCAAGATCACTGCATCCATCCTCAAACAAGCCAGCTCTCTTGCTTCACCCAGGCCTCCTGAAGCATCCAACGGTCTTCCTAACGGACTCTTGGCGTCAGATGAGGGTTGCAGTGAACCGTCGAGCCAGTGGAGAAACTGCTCCAAAGATATTAGTGACTTTAGTGTGTTTCAAAAACGCCACTGGAGTGGTAAAGAAGTCCCATCAGGGTCAGGCGAGGTTCTGAGAGAGATGTACTCTCTGTCAGAGGAGGCAGGAGAGTCAGGGGGTTCAGACACAGAAAAGGAGAGTAAGGAGGTTACAGCCAAGGCTGAAGGAGAACTGCTGGTGAATAAATCGGACGCAGAGTTTCCAGAGAATAAAGAAGAGCTAAACATTAACAGAAGCCTTGAATGTGAAGATAAACAACCTGAAGAAGAGAAAAAAAAATCTAGCTCCACAAGAAAGGAACCATGATATATGAAGATGCATGAAGAGCCTTGCAAAAACATTCCTTTCCTTTAACTTATTTCATGTTGCAGTCACACACCAACACCCACCAATCGTGAAGTGATGAGCATTTGTATGTAGGTTTCTTTTTCTCTAATACCCCTAAATAAATTTGAGTGGAAATGGCTGTCTTCAGACATCAGCATACTACACAGTATATATTCAGAGAACTAGCTGAGAGGAGATGAGAAGATCCACAGACCAGGTTGACAGAATAGCTGTTTGTCATGCACTTTACAAATCTGGCCTTTAACCCTTGTGTCTAGAAATGGGGTCCAACCGACCCCACACACGTAAAATTTGCATCATTTGCCCCAGTCCTCTACGTTTGCCTCAGTCCTCGTACGCACAAGGGTTAAGGAAAAGCAACAGGAATAAAAACCATTGTGGAGAGAAAGTAATAAAAACTCCTATTTAAGGTTTTGTAAAAAGTCATGCAGGGGACCCAGTAAACATGTGAAAGTTTCTTTGGCCAGATTAAATCAAAACTGAACATACATCAGTGGTTTTTATCATCGTTGTGGTATACCATCTAAACAGTCAAAACAGAAATAGATGTTTGTGGTTGCAACATAAAATGTAAATAAATATCAGGGAGTATGAATATTTTTGCAAGACACTTATCAGAACTACAGGCCACATTGTTCTGAAGACAAAAGGACTGACAATCAGGACAGGTTTCGGGACAGGAATGTTTGCCATGACTTTTACAGAGTATGTTCTCCAGCTGTTGTTAAACTAATGATTAGTTTGATTGTTGGAGATTTGGAACAGCTTTTAGGTTAAGTGATTTAGATCAGCAGAGGAAATGCAGCAAAGGTGACTGAGGATTAACATGCCGATATGATCGTTTCATCTTATCTCTCCCTCAAAGATGATCGAAAAATAATTATTCCCTCAAAACACACTATTCCCTTTTAATCCTTCTTTATTTTACTTATCGTTATCAGAAATGTGTATTTTGTTCAAACTATCCTGTTAGCCCTCTATTTAAACAATCTCTCTACCTCTTTTCCTTTTATCTTTACACCACTTTACCTCCCTGCATCCTTATCTCACTAGAGCAATAGATGTGTTGTTTTCAACCTGACTTTCTGCCTTACCCCGTCTCTTTCTGCACTTTACACAATTTAAAGCGACATTCAGTCTTTCACAGATGTGTCAAGCTCTCATCATGCACAGATTCTGTCAGTGTTTTTCTATGCAAAAACCTTGGATTGTTATTCATGTTGTTCTGACGGGGAATATTCTCATATGTAGAACGTACAAAATGTGAACACAGCCTATGAGCTATTTCTGACTACACACTTTCCATGTCTCATCTCTTTAACAGAGAAGTAACTTGTTGTTTTTGATAGGATATCTTTCTAAGATGTGCTGTTAGTTAAAATGAATGGAAACCATTTAAAAGAAATCAGAATAAATTCTAAATAAAGTGAACATATACATATTCTGATTCTGTGACTGTTCAGTTGTTTTTATGTATGTGTGCAGTTTTTCTGTTTGAGAAATCTAACTTTTGTTTTCCTTTAAATTATCTTTATTCTCCAATTCCTGCAATTGAAATCATCTTGCACTTTAAAACTCCTTACATGTGGCTGTGTTTTAATGGCAATTTGTGGCAATTTGGCATTTTAGCTTTAGGATCAATGAAGACAGAAATGACTTTGAGCAAAGTCTCTAAAATTGGATTTTAGCAAACTGCAAGTCATTGGCACAATTGTGTTGCTACCATTTTTTAGCATGATGAAAAAGCCAGCAGAAATCCCAGGTTTCAGTCACTTTTAGTGTAGACAATAAACTACTTCAAGTGTGTGGATATCTGCAGATAATTGCCATAAACTTTTTGTGTGTGTTTTTTTTCTGTTGCTTTCTGTAATAAATTACTTTATTTACTTTACTGTAAACAAATTAAGACACTTCATGAGGTATTTTTAAAGATGATTGATGATTGATGTATTCCATTGATGCAAATGGTGAGCTTAGGCACTGCCTGATTACCTGGGTTTTACTCACAGATGTACAAATGCTTAAATGCAAAATATCAAAAAATGAATAAATACATATTTGCAAACATTGTAAATTAAAACCTTTTTCATTGTACTAATCACTAAGCTCAGAGCGCTGATGTAATATTCTGTCAGATAGGATTAAACTCGGGTTTTCCTCTGAACCAAACTTAGAATTTTAATCTAAAAGTTAGTTTCCACAGCTGTAAAATTGATAATTGTTCTAAATATAGGTGAATATTGTTGATATCAAATAAGGCAATGCAAATTTGATATTTTATAGTAAACCAAAAAGAGCCCTGTGCTTGAACCCTCTCAAACAATATAATTTTAAGTTCAACTTGACACATACAAGTTGAGGTTTAGAAACAGAAAACTTTCCTCACAGTGATTAAAATTCAGGAGTCCGAACAGCAAGCTGATGTAAGTGGGAACACAAAGTAAAACATTAAAAAAAAATAAAAAATCTGAATAATATACTGAACTGTTAGGAACAGTGAAGGTTATTAAGTACACTATATCTAATGCACTTGGTAATTTAGTATATGTAATGGCTTGAGTTTAAAAATGGTCAAAGCAGCAAGACTGAACTCAGGAACAAACGTGAACAAACCAAACCAACTGGCTACACAATCAAAATATAGCTGACCTAACAAAGAAGTGGCACACCATGGAAAATGTAATGGCAGATCAGACCAGTACAACAAAATATGGGTAACTGAACACAATATACTAAGTACAAGAAACAATCCAGTACTGTTAAGTTTGTTGATAAAATAAGCATAAGATAAAATAAGTTTGTTGATAAAGAAGGTAATCAGAACTTTAGATACACATATTTGTTAAATACAAAAGCTGGTTTACCTAAAGAAATTACACATCCCTCCCCACCCCTCTCCAGCAGGAACTGTTGGTTCAGTCCAATTGTCTCATTCATCTATTTAAGTGCTCTAAGCCCTAGACTCCATCTTGTTTTTTTTTTTGTCGTGCAACTTCCGGGATTTATGGCAGGTAGCAACTAACGGCAGTAGCAGTATGGCAGTAGCTGGTACAAGAAACTAAAGTTGGTCATAATCATAAACCGAAGATGATAAAATGCATGTGTCAAGTATATGTGCACTCACAAGTAGAACTAATGCGTGGAAACCACCCAACAAACATTTAATTGCTAACAAAAGTGTGTTTGTGTTTGGATGAATGTATAAATGAAGGTGCATGAGAGAGTTATCAATGTTTTTAGTGGAGTTTGGCAATCACATATATATATATATATATATATATATATATATATATATATATATATATATATATATATATATATATATATATATAGAGAGAGAGAGAGAGAGAGAGAGAGAGAGAGAGGAAAAGAAAGAAAGAACAGGCAATCTTTACCAGTACAATATATAACTATTTGCAACATAAAGTGTGTTTGTACCATTTTCAAAGGCACTCGTCTCATAGTATTGACTAATCCTGACCACTAGGGGGAGATATATAATACAAGATGTGCGGACTGTCAGTTTCACAATCAGCTGAATCAAACTAGGACTGAAGTTAAAACAAAAAACAGTTATTAATTTTCTAAAAAGGAAACAAAATCATTGAGTCCTCATGAGCAGACTGAACTTATTGATAACTGACAGCATGAGGATAAGTTAAATACAACTTTGTTGTAATTGAAGAAAATAAATTACATGGTTAATTTGAACTTCATTTTAAAATTATTTTAAGTACTTGAATAACAGTAAATTATAATTACATTATATATAATAATAAGGAATATGTAGAATGGGCTATTTAAAAACTTTAACAAAAAGTAAATAAATAAAATAGCATCTCAGCTAATGGAAGACTTCTGATTTTTTGACATGAATTTCAATTAAGTTATCAGTAATAATAGTCAGAGTCATGGATATGCAACATTCAGGTTTTATGATCCAGTAACCAAGAACAAATCAGAGCACTGCAAAAAAGCTAGAAATAGTTCATTCCAATCAAATTTAAAATCCCATTTGGTTAGAGTTGAGTCCAAGTAATATCAACCGAAATATTAATTTTAGTCTGTATTCTAACTTTTCTTTATTTCATAATGCCAATAACATTTTGACTTTGAATTGCCTCATCGCTGAAACATGCTTACAAATAAACTTGCCTTGCCTTAGAAAATCAGTGATATTATACACTTGTACTACAGGAGGAGTATTTGCCAAAACTTTATGGAAAACTTCCTTTTCCAGACACTATATTTGAACCTGACATTTGGAAAACCTGTAAACAACTGTAGCATAGCATCGTCTTAGGTTCCCAGAAGCTCATCTGCTAAATATAGTCAGGATTCAGATGTACAGGTATTAAAAATTACATAGTTAAACTGTGTGTCTTTCAAGCAACAAAGAAAATGATTCCAAAAGTTTATTTTCTCTCTACCAAAGTATGTTTTGTTGTCATTTTAATAGAAAAAGTATCATAGAAGAGTTTGCTCGAATTTGTCTGCATCTCTTTGCATAAGCTGCTCTGTTCAGAAATCAAGACTGTACAGAACACTCTCCACAGAGGCTGATTCATGATGGATTTTTTTTTCTTTCCTCTTTTGAAAGTTGTATGCGATTTGGCTTCAACACAGGAGAGCAAGACAGCTGCAGAAAAAAAAACAAAAAAAAAAAACTGGGACTGTGTTTAAGAGTTGAGGTAATGAGCATGACAGCAAGAAGAAGGAAGGCAGAAGAGGTTTAGGAAAAATAAGAAGATCATGGGAGGAAAAGTTGGTTCAAATAATAAAAAGGAAAACACAAAGGGAAAGCAGGATCAAAGTGGGATATAAAATATGAATGAAAGAGGTCATTAATGCAAAATCTCGACAAAAAACAGACTTTCTCTGAGTAACCGCAAATGGCTGATTAAAGTGATTTGAAAAGATGTCATAAGCGAGTTGGCTTGAGAACAGATATTAGGAGTACAAAATTAAATTCAGTGCATCTATTTATTTTAAGTTTTTTATAAAACCAAAATAAAAAAATAAAAAAACACCCGTTGACCGGTGAAATCCTTTAACCAAGGCTCCTAATTGCATATTCCTTAAATTACTGTTAATTTTAAACATTATTTACAGCATGCATTTTTTTTTTTAATTGAGTTGGTGTCCTTGGTGCTATGGGATGAGATGGTGGTTGAGTAAGTTCATGTAAAATGTGTGAAACAGCATGAGGAAGGAGGAGACAATGAACTTGTGCTGATTCTGGGCTGGAGGAAGGGTTTGGACTGAGAGGAAGGATGTGTGTGTGGTTGAGAGAAGGACGTCATGGTATGGAAAAGACAGGAGCAGAGTAAATAGTGGGTGTGTTGGAGAGTCAGGGATGTTGGTATAAAAGCTCCCCCTCTCACTTATGTGGTCCCATATCTTGTGGGTGGGTTTTTTAAAAAGGGTGTGTTTAAAAGAGTGTGTATTCAAAGGACAAAAAGGAGAGTGTTTTGGTGACCTTGAGGCACAGAGGACTGATAACTCCTCAAGATGGATCAACTACCAGTGGTGACCTTAGTGATGGTGGCGCTCTTCTTTCTAGGAAGTGTGGATTCCTCAGCTTATGACAAAATAGTCACCCACAGTCGCATACGGGCGAGGAAAGAAGGGTAAGAAGAGAGGAAATAAATAGAAGGATAGATCAGGAAAATTATTTGTATTTAGATAGTCTTTACTGCTAAACAGAGAGTTCAAACATTAGCTGCATCGGTAAAAAATTAGTAGACGTGTGTTTCTGAAAGAAAACGGCTTTCACAAACGGCTAAGAGTTACACCAAGATAAGTTAATTTTGTGCTTAATTTAGTTTCATATTTTCATTCAGCATTTCAGCACTTTAATTTAAATTTGAGAATGAACGTCCCATTATTTTCAAAGGACATAATTGATGAAAAAAAATCTAAGCAATCATAACGTTGAACAACTGGACATGTCCTTCACGCGCAGACACAAATATTAACTTGTTAAAATATGTATGATTAATATTTGCTGGGGGTTGTTGTTGTTTTTTGCTCGTCTTTCACAATTAGTGATTGATACAAAGCGACATCTATTGTCATTTAATTGACAATAGACGTAGAACATTTGTATAGAAATCTCATCAGTGATTTAAGGTTCTTTTACTGCTAAGACCCTTAACATTTTTACATTTTTTTCTTAGCAAGAACAAAATTCTTGCTCAGAAAATTACTTAGAAGAACTTTATTTTTCTTAGAAGTAAAATACATTTTTGTCAAATCACTGCCATTTCTGCTACAATGTGTGCTCATTTGTGTGTCTTGTGAATCTAATCTACCCCGTCCGCGCCTACATATGACACTATACTCCTCCACTTGATTTTCACTTTTTTTTTCTTTGCTTTTTTGTCCTTCCTCCCCACAAAATCCTTTCTCTGACAGGCCCAATGTGTGTGCACTGCAGCAAGTGGAGGGAACCAAGAAAAAGTACTTCAGCACATGTAGAAACTGGTACAAAAAATCCATCTGTGGCAAGAAGGCGTAAGTCTTCCCTACATTGCTGATTTGTTCAAATATGCTTTGGGTCTTAGTATTGAATAGTTATCTAAAGTGCAAACTGCTCCCTGCTTTACCAAATCCACTGAATAAAGAAAACTGTCAGATCAGAATGAATATTAGCTGTGAATTTTTATTTGCATGAAAATAAATCACCCCAAGCACTTTCAGGTGGATGAGGACAGCTGAGTTTGAGTTCTCTAAATTTCTGCCTCTGTGGTCAACCAATCCAGCCACTTTCCTCCCTAGAAAAAGAGGCAGAATTTTACAAACTGTAAAACAACTGCAGTCTTTGTCGTCTTTCATACCCCTTCATATCTAGTTTGGACTTGTAACACAGTAATTTTCTATGATGAACTTCTTCAACATTACCCGGCTGTGGATAAAATCCAGGAGATGCATCTGGTTTAATGAGATTTTAGTCTTTGTAAGCGTGTTGAGCTTTTTTGTGTGTTCATGGAAATGTTGTCTGCTTTTACTTTAACTAATTATGATTTAAGGAAGATATTTTCGAGCCAAAATCTGGAGGAATGTTGTGATGAATTTACTGCAACATTTTTTTTTTTCTTGGGAAACGCCTCACCAAATGAGTGTAATATTAGGAAACAGCCAATGGAGTGTAAGGCCCAGCTGGAGCTTCATACCTTATCAAGCAGAGAGTGTGAAAAATGTGGTGCAGTCTTTCAGACTATCATCCAGTTAAACACATTAATGCAAAGAAACCAACATATTAGACACCTGAAGAGATTTCTGAAATGAACATCCTTTCTTGTCTTTCATCATGGAAATTCCTCTGTATCAGCACCTGAAATACAGGACATTCATATACACTAAGATAGCAATAATAATAAAAAAAAGAAAAAAAAGAGACTGAAGAGTAAGGTCAAATGTGAAATATTAGAATAAGACCACACAGTCATAAAAAATAGCATCCTTAGCCTCTTAGAAATGTTTATCTGAGTAATGTGGATGTAATAGCAGGGATTAGCAGGTTTACAGCTGCAACTTTTGACTTAATACACTTACACAATTCTCAAATATGTTATCAGAAAACAATATTACTCAATTTCCCAAGAGTTATTAGTGTCTTGCAGTCATGGTTCAGGGAATTTACTGCAAGACAAATTCCAAAAAAGATAAATTCCAACAAAGACATTTTGATAAGATACAGTGGAACTTGCAGCTGTAGTGTCCTCTGACCTGGATGATATATCAAATAGTGGGTCATTAAAAAAATAAAATAAAATCTGTAATTTAGACTGGAGGTATGCCATTCTGATGAAGTGATGAACTTTTCAAGTAGAAGTGGTTTTTGATTTGGCCACAAGGTCCTTCTGCTCAGGACAGCAACAGCTGGAGCAGAACATCGGGAGAGGGGGTACAATCCACTCCAAACATGTTATCTGTCAATTACACATTCAATGAATATTTCATAACTCCTTTGCAGAGACCCTCCCAGCTGTCTCCAAACCACCCCACCCCAATGGTGGGGGTAAAGGTGAAGGGGTGAGGTGCATTTCCATTTCCTGTATGTCCAGGAAATGGAAATGGGTGTCTGGCCTTAACTCCACTTAGGCACTCAAATCAAACTTTGCTTCTCACTCCTGGTGCCTGATTATGCTGAAGTTGGAATGTGATTCACAATCATTTGGGGGGAAATAAATATATTTAAACATATTTAAACATTTCTACTTTTAAATCTTAAATGCTCAGACTGATCAGACCTCAACTCAATTATTCTGCACACAAGTGAAGATCAATCAGATTTGAGAACTTTGGCCATCTTGAAGTGATAGAAGAGTGGAAATGACAAAATAGAGTCTGGTGTGTTTTGGGGGTGTTTAGGATGACAGGCTCTCTATCAGGTGTCCTCCAGTCCAGGTCTTCAGCGCCAGCGAATCACATGGCTGAATTGCCTCTCAGTATGCAGTCAAGTTCTCCAGAGTTCTGCTAATGACTTGATTATTTGACTCAGCTGTTGAAGGAGAGACGCATTTATAAGTTGCAACAGCCGGTCCTCGAGGCCTGGATTTGATGACTCCAGCTCTTTCTGATGCAACAAGAACCCCGCTGCTTTTGAACTTTTAATCCCCAAAGGGCCATAGCATGTGTTCCTCTTGTCATTTGGCTTTTCATATTGGAGCTTGGATCTTGGAATAAAGTCACACCTGGCGTGAATGTGTTCTGGATGCATGTCAGAAAATCAGTGGACTTTTCTGTTTGTTGTGACGGTAACTGGTGATACAAGCCAATGAGAGCATATCACTCCACATTTTATGCTTTCAGACACTAATGGAACTGGTTCATTAACAGACACTTTGCAGTCTGGTTTAAGATGAATGTAATTGTTTAAACCTGTGAATAAATTGCTAATTCCTGCAACTTTTCTGGGTATCCATCATATTGGATTCTGAACTCTGGACCGCTCCACCACTCCTGGCTTTCTTAGTCAGAATTCCATATTTAGGAGTGATTCCTGTTGTATTTTCAACTGGAAACTTGTAAAGTCCAATTATTATGTAAAGAAAAAAAAAACAACATAGACCTGAACTCCAAGAAAAAGAGGTGAAACCACTTCTCTATGTATTTTAAGGTAGTAATAATAATAATAACACATTTTATTTGTAGGCGCCTTTCTAGACACCCAAGGTCACCTTGACATAAAAGCAAGCAGATTATAAAATACATACCAGTAATAAAAAAACAAAAAAAACACAAACAAGATTTACAAGACAGGTTGGAGATATAAGAAATAAATTAAGATATACGACAGACAGTTAGTTTATCATGCATATGATTGGTTGATTGCATAACAGAGAAGAACTGCCACAATTTTCATTAGATACAATTATTTAGGTATGTGCGTTCATCTGTGCACTGATGCTCATCTGGAGGCCACATTGTTCTGATGATTGCTTTCAGCGAACTGCCTTGTTCTGTCTCTGGTCTTTACTGCACCTATTATCCTGTCGGAGTAAAAGCCAAGAAGAAGAAGTGACTTCATACAACCTTCGACTGCCAACAATTGCGCAGCCAGTATTTATGTATTCAAAATTCTAATAAAAAATAATATGAACGTTTTGGCAATTTCCACAACAAAAGACAGCAGATTAAAGGTGATTAAAGTTTCCCTGACTCAACTATTTGAAATTGTGAGAAAAAAGATGTTTCTCACTAGTGTATGCTGAAGATTAATGCATCACTAAGCACAGCATTAGTCAGTTCTGTGTTAAAACTGAAACATAGTATTTTGAATTAATCATCCATCTGTTAATATATCTGAGCAAATTTTTTACCTAACCTATTTCAATAATACTTCATCTGTGAATCAGTGTTGTGGATCAGCTTTCCCATTGCCTAACATTTTCTTTCTTTATTTGTGTCTCAGAGGAGATGTTCAACTTTATCGACCCCAAATTCAATATTCAGCAGTTTATCCAGCAGTCAACACACCCATTTGTTTTCATCACATCCCTGCCTTAATGTGCAGCCTGAGTTCCCTAAAACTATTCCAGGCTTTGGGGAAAAACTAATGCATTTTCTTCCAGTTTCTTTTAGTTTCAAGTTGGAGTAAGGAAATCTTTTACATGTCTTAACTGGTCCATAACTAAGTCATGGTTAGTCACAACAGAAACTCTGAAATAAGAGCTTATTTTTTCTTCAATAGAGTGAAAACACAGAAAACCTTAAGGATGGGAGTTGGAGAGGGTATTACGTGAAATGGACGTCCTTTTTGAGCTTTTTTTTTTTCTTACCATTTATGCATCAGTCAAACTCTGCTTCTCGAGCCATAATATTTCTGTTACATTTTAGTGTCATTTCATGTTCTTGAAGAGACATTTAAATACAACATTCTACATAGTAAGCCTGTGTAATAGCTTGGGTTCTAGTGTCCTGGTTTTATTTCTGCTAATTTCAATTTAAATGTGATCATTTCTCTACCTCTGTATCTATAAACAGTTTGTACTGGGAGAACAGTACACTTTGAAGACTGACTAATGCAGAGACACATCAACCTCAGCTGGTATCAAACCCCCTTAGTCTTAACTTGCTGAGCTTTTGACTAAAACTGTGTGTTAACTGGAATTGTACCATGCCTGTGAACGTTTAGTAGCATTTCCTTTGTTGCAGCGATTCTGTTTACCTGCTTTTATTTTTTTCTTTTGCATCCAACAATGGCAGCAAAGACAGCAGTGGAGAAACACCGTCATCCAGTGTGTGCATAGTTAGATGAAGAGTGCCATCTATAAGCAATGTATTAACAAGTGTCGGATTCCAGATCTGTCACAAATGTGTGAGCATTCCTTTGGATGTTGGACCTAGAGAAAAAGACTGAAAGTCTTTTTATAGATTTTATGAGTAGTCACTTATGCATTTCTTAATTGTGTTCATGCATACTTTATACATTTTTGTCCAGTTTACAGGAACCTCTCATCATTCCTGGATCTAGCACAGCTGAGAAAAAATACATATCATTCAGTCTGTTTGCACAAATTGCAAGCTAATCAAAAAGGAATGAAACTGTGTGCTGTGAATTACAGCAGACAGCATGAATGCTCTCTGCAAAGACTTTAAAATTTACAGTGAATGATGAAAGCTAGTTAAGAGACTGTTGGCTGAAAGCCTACATTTTGTTTTGGGTTGTCATTCCAGGAAATCCCAGGTTCTGACTCAGATGACAAGCCAAAAAGATTCCCGGTTGGCTTTGCACATTTACAAGTTGCATGATAATGATACCCAAAAGATCTGATACTTATTTTTGACTCCAGAAATAATGATTTGGTCCAATATCTTGTCTATCGTGATGGGGCCAGCCACTTTCCATTTCCATCTCTGACAATTTTATTCTCTCCCTGGTCCGGCTCCAATTTGTTCGACTTAAAAAAATTAAATAAATAGACGGACAGGAAAGGTATGAGTAAGAATATTCCAAGAATTGTTTTCCAACCAGTTGGAAGCAGGTTATGATAGGTTTTTGCTTACTCCTCATGAATGATCAGCATGGTTCCTTTTCTGCTATATCTACAAATCCATTCCAAAGTAATGAAAAGTGGCCAATACTTGAAGGATCTGGGCCAGAAAAGCCACCCACTAGTTCCACTAAATGCACCACTATCTTCAGCTTATCTTGTGAGCTGTGATTCCCTGTCAGCCGAGCTGAAAAATGTAAATCCAGAGATGAAGTTTGGATTAAGGCAGTGTAACAACTCCAAAGGTCTTCAATGAATACTTTTTTCTTTCTCCTAACGTGTCCTCTCAAATTATCTTGAGATATCACAACTCAAAATGTAGCTTACATGAAACCCCAGAGAGAAATCCGAAACCTTAGTTAAACTCTAAAGTATTTGTACATATTTGTTGAAGCTGAAATGGTGACAGTCATGTTTTTGGTTGGGAGCGGTACATTTCTTCAAATGGTGAATGATATTGATCTTTTCACACATTATCTGCCTCATAACATTCTGTCATGACATAGTGACAGTTTTAATAAATGTGTAAGATATATTTTCTTATAAAAGTTACATACTGCAGCTTTAATTAAAAGATAATGTTCTGACTATACATTCCTATTCAGAGATAAGGCTGCATATGTTATTAGAACTCCTGGGTCGGAAATAATGATTAATCTTTCAGTACGTTTTAGACTGATCAATTGTTTGATGAGATTGCTAAAGTTTGAAGTGATATAGTCTAGTATAGCCCCATCAATTTTGCTACAAGCAAGTCATGAGAATGATTTTCACATTACATAAACCTGTCTGCTTTCATTGTGAACATGATAAATGTTTGTCCTGTAAGTCTTCTGTTTCCTGTGGAGCAGTAGAGCAAAACTCTCAAGTCCAGTAAAGTTTCTCTGACTTCGATGTTTACAGACTTGTTTTCTTCATGGCAGCTGCAGAGTTTTTGTCTTTTGTCTTGCTCAGATTTTCATGTCTTTTGGTCTGTACTGCTCTGTTGCACTGACTTTATGTTTGTTCATTTGTTTTACTGTTATATGACATTCGCTGGATGCCATTAGCTGACTGCTGAGATAAATATTCATTAGGGTTTCCAAATGTCTTCTGAGTTATCTGCTACAAATTTTTCACAATTTGTCTTTGGGAAATATTGAATATATTTATTGTGCTTTCCTTGTGTTATCTCCTTGCACTTATTTTTAAGATGTCCCCCATACACCATGTCCTCCTCATTGAAAAACATTAAACTTAGCGAAAGTGCTGCTTTGTGTAGCCTTCCTAAGCAATTTATTTTTTTAGTTCACCAGTCATGATCCAAACAGTTGTCATTGTCTCATGGCTCCAGATGTTGTTTTCTTTTTTCTCTCACTCAGCTGCCAAATCTGCTCACTCAAGACAGCTTTTTTTTATTCCCTCAGCTTGCATTACATTCATATTTGATCTCCCTCTGTTTTATTTATTTTCATTCTGCTGCCAAAAAAATTGAAACAGTACTACACACAGCAACTGCAAGTACTTGAGTAATAATGAGGGGTTTTTATTATTATTCTACATCTGCTTCTGGTTTAAGGATTAACAGTGAACAGAAACTTTCACGATTGTATTTATTTTTTCCCTTTTTCCAGGGAGGTCTTGTATGAGTGTTGCCCTGGTTACATGAAGCTGGATGGAATGAAAGGATGCCCTGCAGGTAGGATCCACTGTGGTCTAAACTTATTGCTCTTTGTTTAGTCAAAAATTGCTAACTCTAATTTTCTCTATTCTGCAGTGGCTCCAATTGAAAATGTATATGATACTTTGGGGCTTGTAAAGGCTGAAACCACACAACGATACTCTGACATGTCAAAGCTAAGACAGGAAATCGAAAGCACAGGCACCTTCACTGTGTTTGCACCCAGCAATGAGGCTTGGGATGAACTGAATCCTGTAAGTCATCTGGAGGTGTAAAATAGTCTTGTAACAAATATTCTAATTTCTTAAACGTTTCACACTTTCTCACATTTAAACCACAAACTTTTGCATTCGATTTATTGAGATTTTCTGGGATAGACCAAAATTGTTAAGTAAGTGGAAAATGAAATGGTTTTTGTAAAATTATTGAAAAATTACAATCAGAAAAGTGTGGCACAACCTGTTATTCAGCTCACTTTAATCTGATGTCACCAAAAGTAATATTAAGGGAAACCAACTACATTTTGAAACCACAAAACTTGTAAATAAACCTTAATAAACAGTAAATACAACAGTTCTGCAAAGGCTTTAGAGATTTGTTCATGAACTTTAAGGAACAAAGAACATCATGAAGAACAAGGTAGTAGTGCTTCATCCCTCACTAGGTAGTTGAGGGATGAAGCATTACTTGGAGAAAGCTATTGAAAAATATCATTTGCAGTTTGCCACAGGAGGTGCTCTGGATATATTAGATCACAACTATGCTTTTTGACCTTGGTGCCCATCGTTACATGTGGCAGAAAATTAACTTTTCAGATCATGCTGAATGCACCACATGCTTTGTGAAACCGTGACAGCATCATTTTGTCATCACCAAAGAACCTGAGCTGACGAGATCAGCTGGCCACCACCATTTTACACTTGTGCACTATACTTTGTCGTGGTCTATTTCTTAAAATCCCAATGAAATACAATATTGTTTTGTGTTTATGTGCAACAGTCTAGGGATTATGAATTCTTTTTCAAATTACTGTACATATTTGCATTAACAAAGCCATTTCCCGTACTGTCTTCGTTATCGTGACTTCCATAGACTGCACGAGCCGCGTTAGAGGACAACGTGAATATTGAGCTTTTCAATGCGCTTCACTATCACACGGTAAACCACCGCCTGATGACCAAAGACATGAAGAATGGAATGACTGTCACTTCGATGTACAATGACCAGGCGATCTTCATCAACCACTATCCTAATGGGGTCAGTCTATGAAACACTCACAGGTGCAGAGTCACGTAGTCATAATGACTGCACTGAAAATTGTATCTCTCTCTTTAGGTTGTGACTGTGAACTGTGCCAGGATCATCCATGGTAACCAGATAGCAACTAATGGCGTGGTGCATGTCATAGATCGGGTGATCAGATCTGTCACTGGTACAATCAAGGACTACCTGGAGAGTGAAGAAGAGCTTTCCTCTATCAATGTAATCAAACTTGCAATGGCTTCAACAGTTGAATTAAGTCTAGTATCTCTGGATTTACATTTAACACAATATTTCTTGTTTTTTTTGTTTGTTTGTTTGTTTTGTTTGGTTTTCTAGAATGCAGTTTTTATTGCTGGTGTTATGGATAAGTTGGGCCAGCCTGGTCAGTTTACGATGTTTGCCCCAACGAATGAAGCTTTCGATAAGCTGACGCCAGGATTCATGGAGAGTATCTTTGAAAACGAGCCGGTCATTAAAGGTACAAACATGATGTATTAAATTGCTTATTGTCTTATTATGATTTCAGCTGACTTGAACATTTTCTGACTCTTTCAATGCTCCAGCTGCTCATATAATTACCACTCTACATACGTTGCATGTACAGGTCCAAGACACTGTTGTAATGCTTTTTAAAACAATGCATTCACCCTATTTAATATTCATCTTTTTTAACTAGGTTAATATTTTCCAAAGGAGCTTCCCTTAAAACACCTAGAAAAAGTTTAAAATTAAATCATTTGCTTTGTTAAAAGCAAATGATGCTAAAGACAGAGTTTACTTCAATTATAATTATCAATACATGTTAGGTAACACTGTAATACTTTACCTTAAATTGAGTCAGTCCTAAGAATTGGATATTTTACATGAGTTTAAAAACATTTTGTTTTGGTAGATTGATGAAAAACATGTTTCAGGCATAACTGTTGGAAAAACAAAGACTCAAGCTACAAAAAATATTGCTTTTTGTGGTATTAAATTTAGCCACTATAATCATAATACCATGGAATATTAGGACATCCATCATCAAAGACACCGTGTGCATTTACAGCCACACGCTAGTGCTGGCAAGAAAATATGCAATTTAATCTTACTGGCCATATGACTCCCATCAAGTTCCACAGCTGGTCATCCCATAAACTGAGCTTCTGTTCCATACCACGAGGCTTAGGTCATCGTCCACAACACACTTGTACACACGAAGAAGTGTGTAACGTCAAACTGATACGGTAACTATTAGCTAATAATTTTGATTTGGGCTCAGAAGATAAGAGGGAGTGTGTACTACCTGCCTTCAAACCTCAGGAAACAAGCCAAATATACAAAAGTTATTTTCTACAATCGTTACGACACATTTCTGAGAAGAGCTCTCGCTTTTAGTTGAGAGAATTAACGTTTGCGCTTCGCAGATGTCACATTAACAGCTACACCTCATTATTTAGTTAAAATAGATAAGCATCTAAGCATCTTTCAAGTGAGAAGATATTGATTTCTGCATCCTGGTGGTGAAAGTAATTACACCCGAGAGATGTCTGAAAGCACCAAAAACATTGAGGTGAAAATCAGAAGTAGCCTATGGAGCACGAGTGACCCTGCTCTAATAAATCATGTTTCATTTTGCAGCATGTTAATGGTTGGTTGGTTGGGTGTGTGTGTGGGTATGAGTGTGTGTGTGCGTGTGTGTGTGTATGTGTGTGTGTGTATCCCACGGATAGGGATCACATGCTACTAGAGTAGAAGAATGCAATCCATCAGAGACAAAACACTAAAACACTGTTTTCTAACGGCTGTGACCTCTGTTAGCAAAGGGAATGTGACCCGTCACAAAACAAAAATGGTTCAGGATTGGATTGTGGAGCACAAAAGGGTATTGATTTGACCTAATCATTACTCAACACAAAGGCAGAAGAAGCAACAACCAAAATATCAAATGCACCACAGGCATTATATGATGTCCATCAGCCTTACAGTTCATCAGTCCACTTTTTTGCTGCCAAGCCAGTCTTGATCAGTGAAGGCATGGACTCTACTTGACCTCTGACGGTGGGCTGTGGGTATGGCTCACAGATGTTTGACTGAATTGATATCTGGAGAATTTTGATCATAACTTTATTTAATTGCCCTAATATAACCTGATCAGCACCTTCTACTGTATATTTCAGCCCTGGTGACCTACCACCTGCTGAACAGTGTCCAGTGTGCAGAAGCGATCATGGCAGGATCAGTGTATGAGACTGAAGAGGGCAGTACCATAGAGATTGGCTGTGACGGTGACAGTCTGACTGTCAACGGCATCAAAATGGTGCTGAAGAAGGATATCGTAACCTCTAATGGAGTAATTCACCTCATAGACCAGGTGCTCATCCCTGATTCAGGTAAGTGACTTCTTTGATGTCATTTAACTACACGACAGCGACTTACAAAAAGAACCCTTGAATTTTTTTGTTATTTTGTCACGTTACAACCACAAGCTGGGATTTTGTGTGAGAGACTAACAAAAGGTAGTGCATAACTCTGAAGTACAAGGAAAATATTCTGAACCGTTGCATCATATATTTGACTGCAACGTTGTCCCAATTGATTCTAACCTCCATTTTGCTTCTCTGTCCTTGCCAAAGAGAAGAATCTCAACATTATGTGGCAATCACCATAATGATGATTGCTACCATCATGGTGATGGTAATCACCATAATGATGATAATGACTGAACACTGAACAGTGAACAGTGTATTCAAGGAGCTCTTAAGTGTCCAGATTAAAAAAATAAATAAAAAGCACTTGGAATAAGTAGTCATTTGACCAGAGCATCTTCCTCCATATGTTGTTTTGTTTTAAATGTGAAGAGTCCTCCAACTGGCTTGTTGCAAACTTGGGAATTCAAAAACATTTCAACAGTGGATTTCTTCTTGTTTTTTATCCATTTACTGTCAAATTAAAATAATTTTGATGTAAAGAAAGTCAAGGGGTTTGAATACTTTTATGTGTTTGAGTTTTTCATGTTTGTATGCCCTTGATTAGCCAAGGAAGTGAGGGAACTGGTTGGAAAATCCCAGAGCACTTTCGGCGACTTGGTGTCTGAAATGGGTTTAACGTCTTCCCTGAGTTCGGACACACAGTACACACTCCTTGCTCCACTAAATGCCGTCTTCACAGGTCAGTTGAAATAGGTTCTTTTGAAAAACAGAAAACAAGCTATTCTGTGTGATAAGTTCACATTTCATGTCATTAACATCTTACATACAGAGAAGAAAGTGGAAGCAATCTTCTGCAATATTTGCTTTTTCTAGCTTTATTTTAAAACTATCCTTAATGTGTACTTTTCAGATGAAGTGATGGCAGATGATGAATACCTGAGAATCATTCTGCAAAACCACATGCTGAAGTTAAAAATTTCACTGAGTATGCTGTTCAACGGACAGCTGCTGGAAACACTTTCTGGCCAACTGCTCAGAGTCTTCATTTATCGCACTGTGAGAGCTATGTCTGTGTCTGTTTGAGAGAACTGAGAACAAAGTATGTCAAAATATAATTATATATAAATATATTTGAAGTGAAAGCCAATGACAAACTGTGGCTCCCACCTTTGAAATCTGAAGTCGATGGGTAAGCTGTTTGTCGATGTTGTGGATGTATTTCGGCTGGAACCTAAAGCTGCTAACTAGCTAAATACGTTTCTGCTTGCTCGCTTTGGAAGCTACAATCATATGGGATTCATTTCTTCACAGAAACATTGTATTGTTTAGTTTGATTGATTGTGATCAAAGAAGATTGTGTGACAGAACTAACTCCCCTTGAAAGAAATTGTTTCCAGATTCAAACAGTGATTGTTAGATGTGTGACTGAACTCTCTGGACTTCTCTCTTTTCAAAGGCCGTGTGCATAGAAAGCGCATGCATGGTCCGAGGCAGTAAAGAGGGAATGAATGGGGCCCTTCATGTCATGACGTCGTTGATCAAACCAGCCGACAAAACGGCCTTTGAACTCCTGGATGCTGATGGAAATTTTAAGTGAGAAAATTTTTTTTTTCATATATTTATTTTACATTTTAAATGAACCATACCAAACCCAAAGCAAAATGTTCCTGCTTTTTCTAATGTGTGTCAGATTAAAAGATCCCTTTATGGTGCTTCTACTTGCAGGCTCTTTGCTACAGTGGCCGACAGGTGCAAATGTGCAGCAACAGAGAAAACATGCAAACAAAAAAAGAGACGCAAACAAAAAGCAAATGCAGCAAACAAAAAAAGAGACGCAAACAAAAAAGACTGCAACCACAAATTAAATTCAGCAAACAAAAGAAAAGATGCAAACAAAAAGTGCTGAAAACGGAAGTGCTCCAGACCACTAGAGGGAGTCGAACAAAAAACAGCTGTGTCCAAATTTAGGGTCTGCATCCTTAAGAAGCAGCAATGGCGGCAAAATTATTTTTGCTGTGTTACACTTAAAATTATACAAAATGATTTTTTTACAATGTTTTTAGGCGAGAATGTAGATGTATAGATCTCAAATATCTGCTCGGTTCATTAATAAATCACCTAATTCCAATATTGCTCCGATGCTTTCGGAGATCTGCTCCCGCTGCTTTAACAGCCAGCTCCCCTCACCTGCTGTCAGCTGGCCGGGC